ATAAAATGCAGAAGGAAGGAAGCATTATTCAAAATGCATATACACAAAATATACAACCTAACAATACATGAAGAATGTAAAGCAGTACAATTACATTTATCAATAAAGACACACTAAGATTACAAGGAAAACACAGTACAAATATTTGTCTCAATATGGAGTACTATCTAAAATGATAGAACACACAGCTGTACTGTATTAACAACCAGTCATCACAAAGGACTAACAAAACAATACAATATTAAAGTAATATACAGAGATCACTGCCTAATAATACTATAAGAACACAAACACCTTAGATCTATAGAACTCAGATCTGAAGACCCTTATGTGCTCAACAAATAGTAAAAGGCAGACAAGCCTTATGTAAAACTCATTATACTATACAAGCACTCAATGACAGAGCCACCCAGAACTTGGAATTAATAGTGCTAATCACAAGAAAGGCTAATTAAACTTAGCCAAGGAAAAGAAGCACTCCTAAGGAATCAAATGAGAAAGCTGTGTAAGAAGTATGTGGCAGGAAAGACTCAATGTCAATCCTTATCCTAAAACAGAAACAACCAATGTCTCAAACATACAAAAACACAAATACACATTGTAAAGACATGTAGTAACATATTAAAAATACTACAACATAGTATACAGACTGTCTAAAGAACAGAACCACTCAGCTCACAAAGAAATAGAGGGATAAATCTTAATTAAAGTAGTATAAAAAGAGCTTCATTTATTATGTAAAGAGTATTGTACTTGATAACAGTTTATTCAAGGACAGCTTGTAAACTAGCTGTAACAACATACTTGCTCTCTTATATAAAATCTTTTACACTAACAAATACTACCCTCTTTACCTTAAACCTAAAACGTGTTAAATTACTCTTAGGGGCATTAAACTCTCCCTCTACTGAGTACAAGTACTATCAACACTTCTAGGAACACACTCCTAGTCAAGTAAAGACAGAGGCTACACTCAGGACCAGTAGTTACATAGTTAAGGACCTGCCTGTTGCCTGTGAACCTACAACAAGAGGTGTAATTCCTGTACAGAAATATAGTCCATAACACTCTAAGTTAATTAGATCTACAAGGATGTGATTCATGAATGACTAGAACATTACAAATAAGTTATTTAGTCTGAAGAACATTATAGTCAGTTTGTACAATCTATAATTAGTTTAGAATACAGTCTTCTACTCATCTCTGTTTTAGATCCAAATATTATTGTATCCCTATTAAACATCTAACTTAGTAAAAACCCTAAATGTATGTGTCTTATTAATGAGCTCCTGAATCAGAGGGAGTAAGTACTTGTTTTTAACAGTACTCTTATTAAGACAATAATAATCCTAGACTAAGTAAAGCTTTTTACCTTTCTTTTTGACAAAGAAGAAAGGGGAGACTATAAAGGACTTTAAGGGTCAGATTCAGCTGTTCTAAAGATTTTCCTAAAGGAACTTGTTAAGCACCTCCTGCTTGTCTCTGTTGAGTAGGTAGATCTTATAATTCTTAGGTTAGAAACTCTTAGTCAATTCAATTGTATAGTTCTAAGAGTAATGTTTAGGAAGTTAGTTGAATTCCTCTTTACTAAAGACTTTAGGAAACTCTTAGACAAAATCTAGTAGGCTAGGTCTACATACATTTTAGAGAGGAGTTGTTCTAAAAGGGTTTTAGACTGGTTCTATCTTAGACATTCTTCAGATTAACATTGTTCTGTCTTAACTAGAGTATGTGTCTATATATTTATCCTAGTTGAAGAAGAACAACTAGTCACCTTTATTAGAACTGTTAGTAACATTAGAAGTGTTCACATCTACTTAGAACAGTAGTATAAGATAGTTGTAAAACTTAGAACACTAATTAAACACAAGTGTTTACTTTAACTAGTTAATAGTAGGGTTGTAAGCCTTAAGCTATTCAAATCTAATAAAGACATTTGTCTTTCTAAGGTTAGTAACTCTGAACTTAATACTTTCCTTATAATTCTAGATAGTCATTTGTAGTTAGACAAACTTAGTAATCTAACTATTCTAGTTTAGGGTTCTGTCTGTATTATATACTAGGATCAGAAGTAGAACACATTAAGTAGAGAGGTAGTGTTCTTACACAAAAGTCTTATTAATGTACAAACTAGTACATCTACTATTTACTAGAGCTATTGTTTAGATCTGAGGGAATCCTAAGAAGGGAGCTAAGAGGATAAAAACTTAGAGTTAGTGTCTAGAATGTTCTCTAATAAATTACTACTTGTTCTAAAAGGAATGTATAGCTTGTACAACCTTATTGTCTAAGAGAGTAAGTATATACACTAACATTTCCTTATTAACCTCTCTCTTTTAACAAGGACAGACCTATGTTCTCAACTGTAAACTTAGCTAAGACTATCCCTACTTAATACTATAGACAAACTACTGAGTAGTAAACAGGGCTAGGTAGTGTTTCAAATGTTCTAAGTTCTTAGAACACAGAAGTAGTAGGTCAGATTGTGTAGATTTAGACTTGGATAAAGTACAAAGAGAAGAATTAAAAGAATCAGAAGAAATAAGAGAACTATCTACTTTTGTTTTCAACTTTTTCCTTTTTAATAAATAATTTTGTTAATTTACTTTTTCTACTTTTTCTACTTTTTCTACTTTTTCTACTTTTCTTACTTTATTTACTTCTAATCCTTCAGTGTCTATTGAATCAAAAGTGGTTGTTAAAAAATCTGAGTTATAGTCCTTTAGTGTCACATTTACTGTTAAGCCTCTATAAAATCCTAGAGTATATAGTCAGAGTCTAGAAGTTCTAAGGTAACTTCTGGATTTGTAGAAAAGGCTTCTTACTACAAATCCTGCTTATCACTTGTTATTACTCTAATGACCTAATAGATATACTATTACTTTTATAGACAGTCCTTAATTTAGTACTCTAACTTTCTACAGGTAAAGTATACTCCTTACTTTCAAGCTTCTCTAATGTTTATTAGAACAGATTGATTACAAATTACAGGCAGATCAATCTAAGGGCTCAGAACTGATAGAGCTGAACACATGTGTAAGTGTTCTATACAGACTTAATGTATCTAAGCTATAGCTTGGTTAAAGGAAATAGTACATGTCTTCTAATTAGAATAAGTAATTAGTTCTAGTATTATTCTAAGAATCTTATTAACTAGTTCTGAGTAAAGAGCTTTTTCAAGCATTCTGATAAGAACATTATTAAACCTGAGTGTGAATCCTACCTTCCAGGCCAGAATATTGAACTCCTGAAAGAAAGCATTAGTAGAACATTTACTCTGTTACAGAGACACAAGTTTGTTCTATACATTATACTTCTTATTCAGATTAATGAAGGAAGTATAGAGCTACCCTATGAATTCTAAATACAACTTATTGTTCTGAAGTCAGATCAGGCTTCCAATCTAATAGCTTTCAATCTAGTTCTAGGCTTAGATAGTTGTATTACCTTCCTTTATAAAGGAGAGGACAAATAAGACACAATTAAGGTCTAAGGATAGATTAGTCAAAGTAGTAGCTACATATAGTTCAACTTAGTACTGAAAGTCCTTAAAGTACTGTCTATTAAAGTCTGAAGGGTAGGCTACATACACTTTCTTTCTAGAACAGGTTACAACTTTCAGAACAATTAGAACAGGTTCTGAGAGGACTAAGAGTACATAGTTAGTAAAAGCCTTTTAGATAAAAGTCTATACATATTAAGCTAGGTCTACTTGTAACTACTGATCTAGTAGGACAGTAGGGGTGGCAGTTAGTGTAGAGGGGTCTATGTTTACACTATAAAGGAATCAACACTAAACTAAAAGAGGTAATGAATAGAAGAAGAGTAGTAAAAGTTTAAAAGGGTTTAGAAAGTTTAAAATTTAAAAATGTAAAAGGGTTAGGACAAAGAAAAGAGATTGATGTAATAGTAAGTACTAATGCTTGAAACATAGGAGAGTCATAGGGTAGTAATGAATAGTCTTAATCTGATGTTAGTAACAGTATAGAGGGGACCTGAAGGCTTAGTAAGGGGACTCAGACTATAACTATCCTATACAACAGAAATACAGAATGTGAGTACTAGAATGTAGTTAGAACTTGTAGAACAGACAGAGAGAGAGAGTAAGACAAGAGTAGAGTATATAGAGTAAGTCTAAGAGTATAGGACTACCTAGAGTAGACAAGATTAAGACTACAGGACTAGTCTGATCTTGTACACCTATATATACTAAACTACACAAGAGTACTCAGGGAATATGAGCTACTAAGAATGATAAGCTACAAAGAATGAAAGAAAGGAATGTCAAAGATAAAGGTATAAAGAATGAAGGGATGGACAAAGGGTAAGAGACTATAGAATGAACAAAGAATGAAAGAATAGTCAAAGGAACAGAATGATAAAGTAAGGAGAGGTAATAGTGAGAGTCAGCCTGCATATAGTTTATAGACAGTGCTCCTGAGGGACAGAAGTCCTGAGTTCTGGTACATAAGGGTGCAGAACCCTTGGAACTGAAGGTGCAAGAGTGGAGAACTGTAACAGTGGTACAGACATGGGAAATCTTATTAGTAGATATAACAGGCTTTGCACAAGCTGTTAAGACGTTGTACAACACATTCTTACAGTAATTTAGTGATTGAATTGTGCTTCAAGTATGTGTCTGCACGTCAGTTCATGAAAATAGTCTGGATTGATAGAGAAAAAGGAACGTGCAAGATGGTTGTTACTCAACTGACATTTAAGTTCTGGGAGAGCTGCAATAATAATAATTTCTGAACGCTTGGACCTGATACGTGGTTGTGAGCCGTATCCTTCTGCCGTCTGAAATCTTTGCATCTTTGCATCGGCATGTTAAAGTGACCTTACAGACCGTTCAATAACCGCAGCTCCCTCGAACACAGGCGCTAAAGGTGAAGTTAAAGCCTAAATCGGGCAATGATCGGAGGTAGTAAGAAAAGGCAATTCGTGTATGTAAGCACATTTAGCAGCACCGAATCGATGTTCTCCGTCGCGACGAACGTCCACCATGCATACCCTTACGGTAAACACATAGTATTCTCGATTCAAGCCACTGTTAGCTGACAGTATTTCTTGCAGAGAAATTATTGGGCAGTCCGTGAATACCTGAGCCCAGTGAGCCACATAGACACACCAGTTATCGTTGCAGTTGCTTAGTCCGTGGTTTAGGTGTTGAAGGAGAGCAAGTTCAAGGAGCATGGAAGGATTACCCCTGGTATGTGATATTTTCTCCACTTAAACGTTGCCCTGAGCATCTGCCTTTAGAGGAGTTCGTTGCTGCGGGCGATTTCCTGACTTACAAGTTCCCTGTGTGGACATGGTAAGCATATCAACGTGTTGGACGCATACTTAGGTTCCTTGCTGATCGACCACGTGTGTCACAGGCAAAAAGGAGACGCGTCAAAAGCAAAAGAGTATCTTCCGACTGACAAACAGTACTTGCTTACTCGGGGAGGTGAGCGCTTCGATGCATATGGTCCATCTCGATCTCACATGATCTGCATTCTTCCTTAGTCCCTTGCTTACGCCGAGCCGCGTCCCTGGCATATACAGACGCAGATGAGGATGCTGAGCGTATGGTATCTGCCATGGACGGGACAGCAGCGGAGGGCGATGAATGGGTTGAGACGCATGCAGGTCGCAAGAGCTCACATTTATCAGGAGAACCAGGTGAGATAGAAGATATCCCGGATGCAGACGATGGACATGCAGGAGGCGCTGCGAGTGCTATGGCAAATCTATCGCTGTCTGATTCTAAGGGACCACGGGCAAATGAAATACCTGATATGGACGAGATACCTGACATGGAGGAGGATTTAGAAGGAGAGGAAGATGAAGCTACGGCTGCTCCTGTCAAAGCTCCTACTAGTAAACCAACCGATGCGAGGTTTGTCTGATGACATGATAAGCCGAATAATACGCTCATTTCTCTGTCATCTAGCGTGGCAGAGCCTTCTAAAGCTAACTTACTGCAGGTTAGGACCTACGATGTTATGATCACGTACGACAAGTTCTACCAGACACCTGCCATCTGGTTACTCGGTTATGATGAGGTACATGTTCCCGTGGCGTATCTAAATGCATACACTCACTAAACTATTACAGAATGGAACACCCCTCAAACCGACTCAAATCTTCCAAGATGTTCCTGCAGATCATGCCTTCAAAACCGTTACAATCGAGCCATTTGCTCATTCAACTAGTCTCCAGGCTGCCCTCGTCCACCCTTGTAAACACGCCAGTGTCATGAAAAAGATCATCGAGCGCATGAATGCTGGTGTCATAGAGGAACAGCGGAAGCTCAGTGGTGCATCCGCATCCGTGTCAAAGGACAAAGACGGCAAGAAGAAGTGGATCTTCCGACGCGGGTCAAGTAACAAAGACGATAAAGCTCCTCCAAATGCTGGTGAAGAAGAGGATGTGGAGGGTATGAGAGTGGACTATTACCTGGTTATTTTCTTGAAATTCATTGCATCCATTGTACCAACTATCGAAGTGGACTCGACCACGTCGTTCTGACCAGATTTGTTTTGTGATGACTAGACATACTTTTCTCTTTTCCATTTATGAGTCACAAAGAAGATTGATGTGTATATATTCCATTGAATGTTAACTAGGTGTACGACTTTATACAAGCATGCACACATTCAACTGTGGGATCTATTGTACGGACGAGCTGTTATCGCTTCTCCAATGTGTATTTGTTTGGTTGTAGCAATTTATATGAAGTATTGGGTTGTATAAGGCTTTCCTGGAACATGCTAGGATAGCTTTGACAGGATGAGAAAAGGTTTGCAAAGATATATTCCAGCTACAATTATTTTCTAAGCAGCTGATGGTGAAACTTATCTCTACCAAGCTACATCTATTCTTGTGCAATCTCGAACCCTTTTCGCACAGGAAACGCAATCCTAAGACCTGCATAAACGCAGTCTACAACGGCAGCCCCGTTTGCCATACCAAATACCAACGTGCTCGCGTAAAAGAAGTTCGCATTCCCCGTTCCTTGTGTTAACCATAAAGAGTGGAAAAGCGGGAGCAGAAGGGCTGCATGGAGGTGTAAGAGGGCCGTCACGATGGGATGCCGGAAATCTAGTACACGAGTCAGACATTAGACACATAAGAGAACGATGACGAACTATGTACTCACGTTGATAAATTTCTGGGAATAATGATATGCAGCTCAAGAATAGCCCGATGTCTGCCATGGTGGGATATGGTTTGAAGATGGCGAATATACCTTGAAGGAGAAAGGTCGCATATAGAGGATCATGCCTGTGAAACAAATAAATACAAAATCGTTAGTATCGACTTAAGCCCAGAAGATGTATTTAAGACAAACTGGAATTTAATGCAGACGGGTGCAACATAAATGAGCAGATGGACCTGGATAATAAGTCAAGAACGTCAGAAAACTGCTTCCCAACCAAGGACGCTAGACGAACAGAAAACACCATGAGAAAAAACGGGCGGAAATGGTCGAACATTTCGGTGAAGAAGTACCACCACAATCCAGGATTTGGTGTTAAATCAGGCAACAGAATCCTAACAAAATCTGAATCAATACATTTCAAGACGAAGAAAGGTTCTCCTAACTGTGTCCCCCATGTTTTGTAGACCCAAGTAATACCATCAGATCCCAAACATGACGCAAGAAAAAGCGCTGCTGTGTAAAGAAAATATTCGCTGGCCAACCTGACTATTTGGAGTTTATCGGGAGTGATGTGACGCGGGGAAGCTAATGATGAGGTGGGAGAGCCAAGGAGCAGAAGAGTGACAGGAGGGAGCAGGAGCACGCTATTCAACGACAAATGCGTCAGGAAGGAGAGTGCAAAGAGACAAGGTGCCTTTTTCTCTGAGGCAAAGATATGTTTCAACATTTCAATACGGAAAATATACGAATTCTGGATGACTTACTTCTACATGCAAAGAAGACAGAGGCTAGGTATAATGTATTCTCGAGCGGAGAAGTAGATAATGATAAGGATGTCAAAAATAAATATGGATTGAGAAGTAGCCTGGGCATCAAGTTCCGTTTGCATCAAAGGGTTCAGTTACATGTAGCAGCAACTTACGCGCCGATAATCGTCATTTCTCTCGTCCCTCCTGAAGTATTTGATCTTGCTCGCCATATGCTAACAAGAAAGTATGCGCTCAACGCGTCGCAAGTTGCCACCAGTACGCGTGCACTAGTTGCTGTCAACGGAATAACCGTTGAAAAGAGTGACAACAGGAGTGGAGACTGCACATTGACCCATTAGAGCTTGCTCATAAATATACATGTCGAATATGCGTACATGGTGGAAACCTCCCCCCGAATATGGATCAACGCCATGGCTGTAAAGGAATAAACCCTCCTGTACTGATTATCCAAACGTTTGTCAGATGTGAAACTTATGAACCATGTCGGACGGCGCACACCGAGGATATGAGTTGAGAGGTGAGGTGAGAAGGTGGTTGTGCTGAAGTGAGCTATGCAAAGATGAGAAAGAAAGCAAGAAACGCGCAGCGACGGCGAGTGGGATCGCAGCGGACATGGATGGCAGTTGCACTCTTGTTGCAAACGCAGAACCAGGATCGCTGTGTAAGGCAACTGCGTCGATCAGTGGGGAAGATCGCCGTGAGAATTTTGGTCCCGCTACAGTGCCTTGCATCCTCAATGATCCTGTGCTTGCATGACTCGAAGTCTCGAATATACGTAACGACGAGCGCCCACCCAGTTGCATGGCCATATAACTGTTGGGTATCTCTGACGTGGAAGTCTGCATCCTCTCATTATCCACTATCAGTCTGACTTTTATTCATCCTCAATATCCTCATTTCAAACTGCTTGCAGCAGGTTTCGCTATGTCGGAACCTGCTTTTTATAGAATACCTCCAGAAATCTGGGTAAGCAGGAGCTACAATTGACTGCCTTACGTACGATTGCTTAACTCTATTCTCAGGACAGGATCATTGTAGGGGTCAGTCATTTGCAAGCACAAATATCCATTCAACAGCATTGGTAATAATGGCTTGAACAGGTTGGTCGGCGAGACCTAGCGGCGCTCGCTGTGACGTCCAGGCAGACGTACCCAATTGCCAATCCTCTACTTTACCAGACTCTTGAGCTATCATTCTGCAAATGCTCGGAGGCCTACTATAACGCACTTGCACGGACAATTATCGACAATGCTGAACTTGCTTCTCTGATCAGGAACCTTTACATAGACATGAAAGTTCCATGCAGAGTCAAGACTGCGGGTTCTGTAGATAACTTTCACTCGACAAGGACATGGAGAACCCAGTATCGCCCACATCTTATCTTTCTTCCAGGAAGAGTGGATGATAGGAATGATCCGAAGAGTCGGTCCGACTGGAATCGTGAGGCGGCGCAGACTCTTCTTGATCCTCAAGTCTCTGAAATACTCGCTCATCTGTCTCATATTGACAGAATATCCGTGAGTTTTAGCGCCAATTTTCGAACTTTATTCTCATGAAATGTCTACTGTTAGGTAATTCTTGGACATTTCCAACAAGATTCTGAAATTCTTCTGTCATTATTTAACGCCCTTCCTGAGGAGGTCCTGCCTTCCTTACAGCTGCTGAAGATCTCCGACGCGTCAATAGTAACTACCGCCTCCTTCGGTTCGATGAATTCTCTTCGGGTGCTCGATCTGGGCTATTCTGCCGTGGATGATTTGATACTCTGCGACCTAGTCAGTCAGAATGTGGGAACCCTCGAGGAGATACACCTCAACTGGATTATGGAATCACAACAAAGACCCTTATTCACAGGCTATTCTGGAGGCGTGATCAAGGGTCTAAAGGCGTTTACTTCGCAGGGTCCACACGCATTCTCTTTTGATGGGATCAAGAAGCTATTTGGTGAAGCATCGTTGCTTGAAGACTTTCGATTGGAATCATTGTCATTACCGTCTGCCATGATTTGGAATCGTATTTTCACCAACTGGCTTGCGAGCAGCTGGTGGAAACTGGACAAGATGCGTGTACTGAAGTTTGGAGCAGCGGCAGGTTGCAAAGAATTTTGGGATTCGGTGGCACAGTTTCTTGTTTGCTGTGGAAGTGGTTTGATATCTCTGGGCATCAACGGTTCTCCAAGAGGTCCAACCGGCCCGTTTCCTACCAAACTTATTGAATATTTCGCCGCTCATACGCAGCCTATGTTAAAAACGCTTGTCGTGATGTGGCGTGACGATTTGGGCCTTCCACCTGTGTCTTCGATGGGATTTACGTTATTCGCACCGTCCCTTGAGATGCTACACATTTGCTTCTCAGTACCCGCTGATCTCGTCAACAGTCTACTGAACTTGATTGCACCGTTTTCCAAACTGCGAAGAGTACACTTTACTTTCCTGAAGCGTACGAATGCACCCGACATTAACGATGCGGGAAAAACCATTGCTTATTCGAAAATTTTCGCGAGTGCTTGTGGGGATATTGCACAGAAGGGACCCATGTTCCAGGAATTCGTAAAACGTGCTGCTGTCAGTCATCCGGAACTCGCAGAAGTCAGTTGGAGTATTTATGACAGAATCACGTATTCTGCGGAAGGTCCGAAGGCTTATGTGAAGGTAAGGAATAAAGTATTTCGTCCCTTATTGTTGACTAAATGCACCGCAGATTAACAGGTCTAATTCGGAATCCCCAGATCCTAACAGTGTAAGTCTTCTTATTTGGTTTGGGAGTATTTGACTGACGACTGTTACTTCCTGGACCTGCTACAGCTTCTCCTCGAGGATCTCGGCGACAAATGCCGGAAATACGAAAGCAACGAATCGATGCGTTTCAGATGCACAGTAGGGACGAAGAAGGTGCTTCTCAACCAGAAGCCAGGTTGGAGGGAGGACATGGGAAACCCTTTCCTTGAGACACATCGAGTATGCCAATACGCGGAATTTAACGAAGGAAGTAATATGGACCGACTTCGGCGAAGGGAGCTGTAAAATAATTTGTTTGTTTTTTTGTTTGGACAATTTACTTTGGGCGCTTGTAATTTTATGCTATGTTGTATGTACTGACGGGGATTCTGGACCCTTCTGGACCATTTTTCTGGACTATCTTTCTTGCCTATGTACGGACTTGTATTCTTTGTACGTATACGAAATGGACTTTACGACATTAACTCATGTTAATCCAAATATAATTTATTCAAGAAAACAATCTATCGATGCGGTATACGCAGAACATCATCGTCGGAACGTCCGTCTCCACCAAGAAACCACATTACTAAACGTCGAAGAAATCAAAGCCAACGCTTCTTCAAGTAAGCTATCCAATTTAATACGGGAGGCGCCTTCGGGACGGTCTGTAGCGATGAAGCGTAGGACGTCTTTGACAGTTACTAGTCCGACGAGTTTGCCGTGCTGTTCGACTAGAACTACACGTGGGCTAGATTGATGATGAGTATGGGCATGACGATGAAGAGAAAACGAGATGCGTACCCCATACGCTTGAACAACTGCATGACTATTTCTAATGGTAGTTGAGGCGATACGGTAAGCGGTGTCTAATAAAATCAAATTATAAAAAAAAAGTCATTGTAAAGCCATGGATAAGTAAGTCATGTCCTGGTAGCACCCACCTGGTTTACCCAAGGCCATAACTCCAACTTCTCTGCAGAAGCCCGTTGGCCTATCACTCTCGAGAACATTTCGTCATCACTCGCGACAGCCGGGCCTGTTGCCAGAGTCGCGATCTCTTCTCGGTCGTGGTCGGTTGGCATGGAGTAAAAGGAACACGGTGTATCAGTGGTAGTCCCAAACGATCGCTTCGCCCTGTCTGAAGACGTAAACATATCAGCAAAGATAGAATATTCACGAGGAATATGACGAACCAAGTATGTAGCGCAGTTCATTCCGACCAATGTAACCCAAAAGATGAAAGCGGTCATCGGCGGAGACGATCGGAAATCCTTTTACGTCCGTCTGTTCGAGTTGATTTTCTATAGGCCGATGGTGTCGGTTCAGATGGACAGTTTTATATCGTTATCAACGTGAACAATTGAACGCACCGACATCGCCGACACTAAGACCTGTAGCGGGTAGAGTGTGCAAATCCGTCCGCATAACGCTGGAGACTAAGGACTAACGTTTAACAGTTGTCCTTGACAGTAGCACCAACAATTATTTACCTGCCGCGTTAAGTGTATGGTCTTCCTTTTCCAAGACGGGATAGCCGTTAAATCGTATCATCTCGTCTGCGATGCCGTTTGTACCCAGGAAGTCGCCGACCGCCTTCGTGGCCAACAAGACAATCTTGGATGAAACTCAATATCGATTCCGTTCAGTGAAGAGAATGCAACTTACCATCGTTGGGAGGATATATGTTAAAGCACCAGTAAGCTCAAACATGATCACGACTACTGTGACCGTCATTCGCATGACGCCGCTGCAGTCGTTTGTTAGGGAGTGCTATCTGAGCTTGGATAACGCCATACCTGAGAGCTGCAGCTGCGCCAAGGAGGGCGTACGTTCCAGGTGTAATACAGATCACATCTGGCTTACAAACCGCGAACATGCCCGATTCAGGGTATGCTCTGATATTCAAAGTAAGCTGCTCCTCGCTCTTTGAACGAAAGAAGCAACCACATACATGTACATGGCCTTGACCATAATCCCTATCATCCTGCCAAAGGTCGCTCCAATAGCCATTGACGGGACGAAAGCTCCTGCTGGCACTTTGCACCCATACGAGAGGATGAAAAGGCCTATGCGGATGAAAGTTGCTAGGAAGAGCGAGTTCACCATTCTCCATTGAGCAGACGTCCTAGCAGAAAATCTTGTAAGTAGCGGAACTAAGAACTATCTATCTTTCTTACTGGCAGAGGTGGTCGATATCACCAGCGGTGTCACATTCACGGAATAATATTGCGAGACTCTCCACCATATCAATGCGCAGGAACCGATTGAAGTAACCAATCATTGCCGTGATCGTTGCCAGTGTCACTACTTCTGCTATTCCATGATTTGCTAAGTGTTTCTTGCGGAAGGCGGAAACTTGAACATGGAATTTGACAACCAATGCTCCATAGAGCCCCTAGACAATGATACAACTTCAGTTATATAACCAACACTGATTAGAAGGCGACACTTACTCCGAAGATCCCGATGATAACGAAGAAAATTATTTCAAAAAAATGCCAGTCCCTATCGTAACTAACTTGGAAGAGCACAAGCTTCCCAGTCCGAAACGGATTCATGGCCTTGTTTTTTTTTGTCAATTGAGATGCTTTGGGACAAGTGAAGGGTTTCAACTTACAGACAGAGTCACCGTCGCGACCAACGCACACATAAAGCTCCTCCACATTGTTTTTAGTCCGAACGTATGACTCATTTCCTGGTGATGTACTCGGTATGATGATGCATCTGGTATATTTCACGAAAGACGTTTACTTACCTCAATTGAAAACATTACACCTCCTATTGGAGCACCGAAAGCTACCGCAACACCAGCTGCGCTGGCTGCGGTTACAATATCTCTCATCTTCCCTAAGAGAATATCAATAACTCCGCGTGCAAGAATCAATGGTGTTTGACAATGGTGTCACCTTGGCTTTGAGCAAAGCTTTTGAATAACTGAGCGACGACATAGCCGACACAACAAGCGACATGGACCGAGGGTCCTTCCTTTCCAACAGAAAGTCCCGACGCGATTACTAGGGGCTGATGACCAAAATCTCAGTAATTTCAGAAGGATACGAGGAGAAAGGACATCACTAACCAGCGTTAAACTCTTAATTGCAAGGGTCATTGCACCAAGATAGCCTTTCATTATAAACCCCGCAAGAATACACTTAATCTCCGAGATACCTGAACCAGCAGCATATTTCGCAAAGGTTTTGACGAGGTGAGATGCAATAAAAGAAAATAAACTCTGGAAAGTAATCAGGAAAAAGAAGAGTATAAATCCATGTACAAAAGGAACTCACAGCAAACAACACATATATTAACCATCGTACGGGTGCAACAGAACTCCACGGGTGCCAAGAGTCGCACGCATCTTCATCCCCTTCTATTTCCCAGCAACAGAACTGTTGGTTGAGCCACCAGCCGTCCGAACAGTAACCCATTTTTAAATCTGACAACCATTCCGTAATGATTGAGATGAGTGCAGCATTGATCCCAATGCAAGCACCTTGAGGCGCAGCCATGAGTACGGATTGAGGAGATAGTCTTACAAAGGCGTACCAGCTAAGCTCACAACGAACCAGGACTGTGAAGCAGTAAAGGCCCTTAGAACTTGCGCTCGAATCCAAGACGGGGTCACTTCGCCATTAGGTCCACGATGTGTTGCTTCCACACGCCGGGCTATTCGTAGTCGACGATTACGCTCAAGAATCGAGTCTTCTATCCAATCTAGAGATGTTTATTGTATCAGATACGTTAGCTGTCAAGACTTCACGAAAGCTTGCCTATTGTCGTGAAGTCTTCATAACGGCTAGGATAAGCAAACGGTCAGGCACAGCAAATTTCGGCAACGTGCACAAGCAACATACCTTATTTGTTCAAGTTCATCTGCTTCTGGACTTTCTGCTCGTCGTAACTCGTCCAGAGATGTTCTTTCGGAGTCCATGAATCTGCATTACACGAGTTTGACGCGGAGGAACTTGAACGCGTTCCAGGTTCCAAGCAATCGAGAATGAGGTGGAGGTCACGTTACTCAGATACTACGCTCGGCTTTTCCCGTAGCAAGGATGCTTCCTTCCACCACGAGACACTGCTCATATCATGTCATGCAATAATAAAATCAAACACTTAGCATCAGACAGGAGAACAAGTCGAATAGGTCTCTTGCGACCATGCAATCAAGACCTTTACTGAAGAGAGCAAGATTGATTGTAGCGAGCTTTATCCGCCATACGAACATTGGATCACTCTCTGATCCGGTTTATGTGAGAGGAATGAGTAAGTTTGGGTATCTTCCATGTCTGTTTCTTCTACCTAACCTTCTTCGGTCGTCTGACCTACGGTTCATCCTGCTTGTTGTGAATAAGCTACAAGCTTATGATTATCTTCCGGTAGCCCCATATAACCAATCCATATATCTCACGTCGATCAGACAACCTCGCGTGATTGTCGACCAGGATTTTAGTCCGGCGTAGTTCGGACCCTTGGTTTTCTTACCTCTCCCGCAACACATTCATCCCGGTATGGCTACCAATATTCCGGACGACCGACTATATGAGTATGCGCACAAAGTAAGGGGACAAACAGTTGTCATAACAGGTAAGCACATCTTCCATTCCTGATCGAGAAACACGTTGAGGCCATTTCCTGTGCTTGGGCGCTAGGTGCAGCGAAGGGAATTGGAAGGGAGACAGCGCTTGTGTTTGCACAGCACGGGTGAGTTACATCTCAGCAATACTGATACTTGTATCCCATCAACTGATAATAATAATCTTTATAGCGCCAATGTCGTGATTGGGGACGTCGATGTTGCAGGCGCTGAAGATGTCGTCGCGTCGATCAAGAAGAATGGCGGGTAAGGCTCGGACTTTCCGTTTGACACAAAACACTGGTCTTATTTTTTAATAATAGGGAGGCCATCTCTCAGAAGTGTGACGTGCTCGAGTATGAACAACTAGTGCAGTTAATAGAACGAGCACTCACTAAATATGGCCGAATAGACGCGATTGTGAGTAAAACCAAAAACGATCATATAAAAGTTTCTCATAGCAGTGTAAACGTTTTCCTTAGGTCGCAAACGCTGGTGTTTCAGAAATTGGAAAACTAACTTCTGTGCAATTGAATGAGCAAGGCCTTCCCATGAAGCCTAACCTCAAGACACTACAGATAAACCTCATTAGCGTCCTCCACAGTCAGTTTCTTCTGTATGAAGTAAATATTCAAATCTAATTCATCTCTTTATTTAGCTACCCAACTTGCTTTCCACTACTTCACCAAAAACAAAAATAAAGATTCTTTGAAGGCGCTCGTTCTACTTGGGTCAATGGGTATGTTTGCTTGATTTTAGGATGAGTTTATACTGAATATGCCTGGGTTTCCTAGCGTCAATATTAGGTGTACCTGGTGCACCACTGTATGGTGCTTCAAAGCACGCCCTCATCGGGCTTATGCGCTCCATAAGAGAGGATTTCGCGCTACGCGGACTGCGCGTGGCGACGATTTGTCCTTTCTTTGCTGGTCTGTCTCATTTTCCTGTGAATGTTGTATTCGAGATTTAAATTGAATCAAAATAGATACAGCAATTGTTCCGCCCGCGGTGAAGGTGTTCATGGCCGGTATTCCGCTTGTCCCTGTCCCAAGAATCGCAGGTGCCATTTTGCTTGCAGCAACGGATGAAGCACCCGAATCGAACGGAGCTGCGTACACTCTCCCAGATGATCGTGAAGTGTTCCGTATTCCGCCTGTGCAGATTAACGAGGGTGTCTACAAGATGCTTAATGATCGTGTGAAACGGTTGAAGAGGTAATTCATCAGTTTCCCCAACTACTTATAGCGTTGCATGCTGAACTCGAGGAATAGTGTCGGTCGAAGTGTAATCACCATTGCGACACTAGTCAAACTGGCTGTGAGGTCACCGTTAACCAAGCTACTCGTCGGTGCTGTAGTAGGATACAAGGCATATCAGATCGCGCTTGCCAGGGGTCTAATGTGAATTTGTTTCTATACTCGGGATCGAATATTGTGCAGTCGAACAGGATCTAGGATATCTCAACAGTCGGATGGAATTTCCGTCTTGTCTAGCTAGGATAATGCTTATATATATATCGTGTTGGATAATATCAATACAAATATTGACTTCATGACTTCATGATGGTTTATCCTCTCTGAATCTGCGTTAGTATCAAACCATCCGCCTGATGATTTGTTTGGCTCACCTACGACGACTGTTCTGCACTCGAATAAATAACCAATCTACCGCTGCATTAACTCCCGTTCTTTAATAAGTAATATAATATCAGCACAAAGCATTCTATTACTTGTTGTGAATATCAAACCTACCCTTCAAGTGCGGACATACCCATAACATCAAGACTAGCAAAACGCTCGTGTCGTTGATCAGACTCGTCCCCATACGTACGGCGAGCGCTATCTTTCTTGCCCTGATACCACTGTTCGTAGCTCTCGCGTATCTCTTCTACTGAGAGGCTCTCTGGAGCGTCTTGCTTATTTGCAAGCAGGAGTAATGGAACGTGGAGGATTTTAGGCGAAGAGAGTACGGAATCTACGAAAAGGTTCCTTTAAGCTTTAACGGATGGCGACTGCATACTCGAAAAGAAACCCACCGAACACCTCCCAGCCTTCGTTCAAACGTTCTCGGTCTGCGGCATCTATAATATACACGACAGCATGGCAGTCATCATAGTATCTATGCCAGATGCTCCGTATTCCTGATTGTCCACCTAAGTCGAAGAACTGCAAGATCGTTGACGGCATAGTTATCTTCCCCACTTCAATTAAGTGTTTATTAAGTTTGTTTAGTTCGTGGATTTGAATTGTGTACAACACGTACTGTTTTGTCCTACGGTGGGGACGATCTGGTCTGGTGGAAGGCCGGGTATGCCGGTGTAGTGGCTCTTCACCTTCTCCAGGAAGGTCTGAACTCAAGTGGAATAGTTTCAATAACTTGAACTTCATAACAAACAAAAATATTTATTTGCTCACCGTTTTACCAGCACCATCGAGGCCAAGGATGATAATGGAGAACTCCTCCTTTCTAAGAAAACAATTACGATGTTGTTATAATCTACGTCCTGAAGGAGAATTAAAGGATACTGACTGGGTCAAATACTCATGCAACCCCTTGAGGAGATGATACATGTGAACATCAGGGTCAAGTATTATGCCAGCCAGACGCGGTTCACGAAGTTGGCGTTCAACGCGTGCGTGACAATTCGCTCGCTCGGGATCGCCGCGCGTCTTGGAGGACTCTCTTCGCCACAGAATTCAGTTCCTTACCCCCTCTCTCCTCCATCGCCCAGCGTTGCACAATGGGCTATGTGACGTATTACGCTTTCGGTCTCCCGACGTTCATCGTCGTGGTAATTGCTTTATACCTTCTTTTCACTGGTACGCAACCCTCCCTTCACTTGATTTGTTTACATGTGACGTGCTGACGTTGTACGAAACACAGGCTCAGGAGAAGCTTTCAACGTTGGACGTTTTCTCGAAGAAACAAGTCCGTATGCGTGGGCGGCTACTGGTATCGGCTTGTGTATTGGTCTTAGTGTAATAGGTGCCGGTTGGTGCGTAGACTGTTGTTGCGTCTAAGTTTCGATTTGCTTACGGGAAGTCGTTTTGCGATGTAGGGGAATATTCATCACTGGTTCATCGATTCTTGGAGGTGGCGTACGTGCACCGCGGATACGTACGAAAAATCTTATCAGGTTCGTTGTGTTTACTACACCGCGTTGAGATGTTCGTTTGTTTGGACGAGGTCTAAACTTCCATCCAGCATCATTTTCTGTGAGGTTGTAGCAATTTACGGCGTGGTATGTAATTATTCAAGTAGTATTGAAAGCTGTTCTAATTTGTAATGTGTATCTTGCAGATTATGGCCATTGTCTACTCCTCAAAGATCGAGGCAGTTAGCAACGTCAATCTTTATACTCGAGACAACTATTACACTGGTTCGTCTTGCTTTAACTATATCATATAAACTCAGAACTCATAATTCGCTTATTTCATAGGATTTGCAATCTTCTGGGGTGGACTAACCGTCGGGGCATGCAACCTCCTATGCGGCGTCTCAGTAGGAATAACCGGTTCAACAGCCGCACTCGGTGACGCAGCAGATCCTAACTTGTTCGTCAAGATCCTCATCGTTGAGGTCTTTGGCAGTATCCTAGGTCTATTCGGACTCATCGGTACGTCTTCTTCCTCTTCTCGACAAGGATTTTATTAACTTGATCTCGCATTGCATGGCGTTGTTACAGTCGGGTTACTTATGGTCGGTCGTGCAGGCGAATTCGTCGCCGCTGCGAACAACGTGGCAAGCCCGTCACCTCTGGCACAGTTCGCTCACGCCGAACTTTAGGGCATGATGGCATCGTATCGGTCTCGTGTCGGAAGTGGGGAACGGGACTCTTAATGGCATTGGCATTTGGCTGTCTTGACGTACACTTGAATATTTATTTCACTTTCAATGCACTTACTTTCAATATACATATTTTTCCTTTTTCATTCTTGTTTGCTGTGAAGACTGGACACTTCGTGATTCCTCGGAATTCGTGGTGCACCTTCTCTGACCGAAGAGTTTTATGATTATCGCACGACTTACTTCAGACGAGTATCATATAGTCGAAACAGGCGAAGAACTATTCCATCTCTTGCCTTCAGTCTCGACAATGATTGATATTCACTATTTCATCGTCAAATTTCTTTACATTCGGTGAGCTCAGCATAGGAAACGCAGTACCGTTGAGTTTCATTGTCTACGACTTAATGCAGGTATAATACAATAAGGACGGGGTACGGAGTCTACAGACATGCCGATGCGGCCAACGAGATACAGATAGGGGTACATGGATATAGGGGAAGGAAATAGCAGCAGTGTATCATAAACAAATCGTTAAAAGTCGTCATCATCTAATCGCCAGACATTGTCTTTGACTATCTTGGCTCGTTCTAATAGGTATTTCCCTGGGATCATCGTTAGTTAAGTCAATATTCAAGCTAAAGGCAGAGAGTGTTTAAAGTCTACCTTCTTTGTATTTCTGACTGGTATCAGACGCTTTGACGTAGTACCATCCTAGACGGTCATTACATCCGACGCAAAACACGTCTGAGACGGTGTGCATGCCAGTCCTGCTCATCAAAGAAGTTTGAGAACGGGTGACGCATGATATCTGCTTATGATGATGGACACTCACAAAAGCGGACGGTCCTCTTTCTTGCCATGTTTCACATTGACGGCTGAGTGCATCAGGCTAGCATACGAGTCGAGTTAAGACAGGCAGATATTCTTCAACAGAGACAAGAAGGATACTTGCAAGCCACGACCTTCTCGCCCAGAGAACGACTTGCTAATTAGTTCATCTTGAAGGGTCTTAGGAGGACTGCGATCAGTTGTATGCAGTGGCCACACAGCAATAGACACCGACAATAACAGCAGAGCATTGAGCACAGGCATAGTGTCCCTTGTCTTGATAGATGGATATAACGTGAGTCTTGGTGTCCTCTGTTGGACTAAGGTTTACAGTTGAGGTGTTCATTGTACAGCATCACTGGTGCCAGAGAGTGTGAAGTGATACAGTGATAGGACTTCCCAGAGAGGACCAAAAAGACGAGCCATCACGTGAATATTACGTCATACACAGCTTCCGTAGTTCATTCAGAGTTTGCGACCGTCCATCATCACGGGCGACGAGGGGGCTCATGGAGAAAATTTGCTCACAACATGTGTCATGATTGCGGCTAGCGAGAGTCTGACGCGGGCAGTGCGGAGTAAACGCGGCATAAACGGACAAAGGCTGAGATAGGAGGTCACTGTCTTTGGCAGTGCCCCATTGAGTGCAGCACCGCCGATAGCCCCGGCGCGCATGGGCTACGTCGACCGCCTATGTATAAGCCCGGCATGCAGGGCACATGTGTGAGTGTGGGACCGCAGGGGGACAATGACGCTAAAGGGAAGTGAGGGAGTACTTAATGCGAGTGGGGATGGAAGGCACGGCGACGATGAAGAGGTCACGCTGGACAGCCGGTACGACGTCCGCAGGATCGGAAGGGCCAAGGTGGAGATGTGTGGTGACGTGCATGGGCGTGATGGACTCGGGTCGCGTGGGACGTTCGGCTGCGTGCCGGGGTGGCCCGCATCGGGAAGCGACTGCGATGGGAAAGCTGCGACGGTGGCCTAGGCTGGATGTGCAGAGACAGCCAGGCAGGTGAGCCAAAGAGCAGACGACGCCCGTGGCATGTCGATTGCACATGCGATTGGCGAGGGATTTTGGGGTCTCCGTGTCGAAACCAGAAATCGCGCCGTCATCATCACCGTTCACTTCGCTCTTCCCCCTATTTCTCCCGTGCACAACGCTTATCCCCTCCCACTGCACGGGCCTGCGACGGCCACATCGCAGCCAGTAGTTAGTTAGTCCTGTGTCTGTATTCGAGTACAAGCCGGTCGGAATATATACATGCAAAATAATAAGCACTAGGAGATTGTCGGCCAGAAGCAGTCGTCGCCGTGAGCACAGGCGGTGACGCCGGCACAAAGCGCCACGCCATTCGCCCTGACTTTCCTTCCCCCATCAACAACGCTCTCGCCGTTGCCCTCCACTTCTCTCCCTCCCTCCACATCCTCCTCCTCCCCCATGGCCGCCCCCGCCACCCAGCAGTTCCATTTTCCCTCCCCCCTCGCAGACACCTCGGATGCTATGGCACTCGACTCCGACTCAAGCGACAACAATAGCGGCGCTTCCGATCGTCCTGCCCCTGCCGCCGTCGTCCTCCCCCATCAGCCACAGCCGTCCGCCAACGACTCCGATGCCGATGCGGACGACATGGACGCAGACGCTGAGGGCGAAGACGCAGATGGTGACCCTGACTATGCGTTCGAGGGCGACGTCGAACCTCCCGTCGATCCCTACGCTGCACCCAGTGGTTCGAGGCTATCAAGCAAGGTGCGTCTTTTCCATCCTCACAGTTCATGGCAGAGGTGTATGTGATCCTAAATTTGGAATCCCTCTGCTTTTGCTAGGTTGGAAGCGTATGTCAAAATTTCATATGTTCTGGCTCAAACGCATGATCTCACTCATATACCTCTTAGGGATACGATGACGAGTCCGACGATGGCTCCTTCGCTGATGAAGAATACAGCAAGAAAAAACCCGCTAAAAAGAAGAAACCGTCGAAGCCGAGAGGTTTGTGGCTTTCTGTGGCTTTGTTCATTGACCTTCCGTTCAATTAATTCATAATTCATTAAAAATAGTCTCTGCCTCTAAAACTCCTGCCCCAGCACCACCCCGGCAGGTCGATTCAGACTCAGACTCTGAATATGGGGCACGGTCAAAGAAAAAGAAGAAGCCCCGTATTCCTGATGACAGCATTCGCATGTCGAGCAGAGGTGTGAAGGTCCCAAATTACGTTGATGACGTCGAGAACTTCGAAGAGTTCGAAGAAGACGAGGACAATGCCTACTATGCTGTAGATCCAGGTGCTCAATACGAAGAAGAGCACGAGATCGAAGGTGTTTTCTACCATGCTCGCGATGAAGACCACAAGGATGACCCGGAGGATCTTTGGCATGAGAACATCGTACGAGCCGCTCTCCTCCTTGGCCATCAAATCATGTAGACTGATTACTTCTATTTGCCGCAGCGGTATCACATCAAATGGAAAGGCTTCTCTCATCTGCACAACACAGATGAGAATTATGAATTCCTTAAGCGCTTCCGTGGCCTGAAACGCGTGGACAATTACATCAAAGCCTACAAGCAGTACCAGGCACGCTTGGACGACCCAACTCTCAGCCGAGAAGACACAGAAGCTCTTATGCTAGACAAAGAACGTGAAAGGCAAGACCTTGAGACTTTTAAGACTGTCGAACGTGTGGTGGCGATGCGCGATGCCCCCGGTGACGTCGAATACTTCTGCAAATGGCAGGGCCTCTCCTATGAATTCTGCACCTGGGAGAGTGCCGAGGAAATTAAGGGTATTGCGAAGGAACAAATTGACTCCTTCATGAAACGCGAGAAGGATGGCAAATTCCCATACCGCAGTCAGCACTATCCGAAAGACAAACGCCCCGAGTTCGTCAAAATCAAGAAGGATCCGGATTATGTCGAAGTGACTGGAGGAGAACTCAAAGACTTCCAGCTCACTGGGTTGAACTGGCTTGCGTATCTTTGGAGCAAGGGTGAGAATGGAATTCTTGCCGATGAGATGGGACTTGGCAAGGTGAGCGTGAATTATATCAGACCATGGGACTTCATCCAACTGACTCTGGTGTAGACGGTCCAAACAGTCGCGTTCCTCTCCTATCTCTTCCATCAGCATAATCAATATGGTCCATTCCTTGTCATAGTACCCCTTTCGACTATCACTGCTTGGCAGATGCAGTTCGCCGCGTGGGCACCTGACCTCAACGTCATTTGCTACATTGGCTCGAGTCGTTCTCGAGAAGTGATTCGAAATTACGAGGTCTATGCGGAGCCAAGCAAGAGCAAGAAGGTCAAAATGAATGTGCTACTCACAACGTACGAGCTAATTCTTCGCGACGCGGCGATGCTTGGAGACATTAAATGGCAAGCACTGGCGGTCGACGAAGCACACCGTCTAAAGAACTCAGAAAGCCAGCTCTACGAAGCATTGCGGACTTTCCATGCTGCTTCAAAGCTGCTCATTACCGGGACGCCACTGCAAAATAACGTAAAGGAACTTCTGTCTCTTATGCACTTCCTTATGCCTGAGAAGTGTAAGTCTACTCAATGAATGAAAACAACGTCGACCTCACGCTTTGTGATCTTTTTTTAGTTGCTTTGACAAATGAATTCGATCTCGCGGACGCGGATCATGAGGCGAAGATCAAGGAATTACACAAACAACTTGAGTCGCTCATGTTACGCCGTTTGAAGCGGGATGTAGTCAAGAGCTTGCCAACAAAGAGTGAACGCATCCTACGTGTCGAGATGTCGGCTTTACAGACGCACTTCTATAAGAACATCCTTACAAAGGTACGCCATAAACAATGAATCACTTTGTGTCAATCCTGAAAGCATATAATGCAGAACTACCAAGGCTTGGTCAAGAGCGCGAATGGCAACGGAAATATCAGTCTCTTAAACATTGGTATGCGCTTTATCCGGTCACGTGGCAGGTTAACTAAAGCATGATTTGTACCTTAGCGATGGAGCTGAAGAAAGCCGCGAATCATCCTTACTTATTCGATGGTGCAGAGAACCGCTCCGACAATCGTGAGGAGACACTGAAGGGACTCGTAATGAGCAGTGGCAAGATGGTCCTGCTCGACAAGCTACTTGCGAAGCTTAAGCAAGATGGTCACCGTGTGCTCATCTTCAGTCAGATGGTTCGCATGCTAGACATACTGAGTGATTACATGTCACTTCGCGGCTATACACATCAGCGGCTCGACGGAACTGTCTCTTCGGAGGTCCGCAAGAAGTCAATAGCACACTTCAATGCTGATGGATCATCCGACTTTGCGTTTTTGCTATCGACGCGAGCGGGTGGTCTGGGTATCAACCTGGAGACAGCTGACACTGTCATCATTTTTGATGTACGTTCAGCATGCTTACATTGTCTCAGTTATTGACAATTAACTATTGATACAGAGCGACTGGAACCCGCAAAACGATCTGCAAGCTATGGCTCGCGCTCACCGAATCGGACAGAAGTCGCACGTAAACGTGTATCGGTTTGTTAGCAAGGACACGATGGAAGAGGACGTTCTGGAACGAGCGAAGCGAAAGATGGTCCTCGAATATGCTAGTAAGTTTCGAAGAAGTTTGCGGGAACTTGGTGGCGTCCTAATTGTACCTTTTAGTCATTAATCAAATGGACACGTCCCAGGCGCACTTGAGTTCGAAGTCTGGTACACAATCAAAGGATACTACTAAGCCTGATAACCTCAGCAAGGATGAATTAACGGCTGTGCTGAAGTATGGCGCTCAGAAGATGTACGTACACACTCTAACGTGTTATTGGCATGAGGCTGATGGCATTCTCAGGTTCGACAAGGACGACTCTCAACAAAATAAGAAGCTCGATGATATGGACCTAGATGATATACTTAACCGCGCTGAGGACCATGAGACGATGGCTTCTGGAGGCGATGGTGGCGCGTCGTTGGGAGGCGAAGGCTTCCTTGCGTCCTTCGCTGCCGTGAGCGATGTTAAGAATGACATGAGTTGGGAGGATATCATTCCTCTGGAAGAACGGATTCGTTTCGAGAAGGAAGATGAGGATCGCCGGATGGCAGAGCTTGCAGAGCAGTCGAGAGACCGGAAACGTGCCGTTGCTCCCGTTTCGTATGAGGGTATGGATGTGGATCAAGCACCTACTCCATCGAAGAAGCCCAAGCAACCCGCACCTGTACGTAAGTCAGCTAGCCAGAAGGCGCTTGAGCTGAAGGAGAGAGACATCCGTGTCCTTGTGAGGAGTCTTCAGCGCTGGGGCGATATCCGTCAACGCTACGACGTTATCGTGAGCCTATCATTCTTTCATATTTGTCAAGTTACCTTTGCTTACGGTGTTACCAGGTGACTGAGTCTAAACTGCAAGACAAGAATAAGGCTATGATCTTGGAGACTGCTGATGCAATCATAGACATGTGCGAACAAGAAGTTGAGAGGAACAATGCCGAAAAGCGTGCTCGTATGGCGGCTGGTGAGACACTCACCAACGCACAAAAGAGCAAGGCCGTTCTTGTCACATTCCGAGGAGTCGGGAATATCAATGCGGAAACCGTGTTGTCACGCCATCGGGACCTTCGGATCCTCTACGACTATCTTAGTGCACTGCCTGATCCTTACACATGGGAGTTGCCCATCGAGAACATTCGTCCAACCTTGAACTGGTCTGGTCGCTGGGGACCCAAGGATGATGCGATGCTGTTGGTTGGCGCTTTCCTGTACGGTTTCGGTAATTGGGAACAGATTCAGAAAGATCCCAAGCTTGGCCTAGAAGGCAAGTTCTTCCTCGACGAGGGCAAAAAGGGCGAAGATTCATCAACCAAGCCTATCCCGAATGCGATCCATCTTGTTCGCCGTGGCGATTTCTTGCTTAATCTGCTGCGCGAATACAACGAGAAACTCGTCTCGTATGAAACGTCGATGCGTGCGAAGCCGCTGAAGTCTTCTGTGTCGATGTCGCCACCACCTGTTCATGCCTCGAATGGGATGAAACGCAGGGCAGAGAGTGAAGCTGTGTCTGCTGTAGATGAAGGGGCTGCTAAGAGACGCAAGCGAAGACCGACGCCTACGTTCACGGACTCGGAGTCCTCGGATGAATGGTACGTTGTCAATGGCAAGTCTTATTGCTTTTCATTGTTCTGATTATTTCCTTAGTCCTTCTATGGATGAGGCTGCGACCAAGGAAGAGCTAAGGCCCGTGAAGAAGCAACTGGTGAGTCAACAATCCAGGACTCCTTTTGTCTTCACAAGGTTGCTAACGTGAAGATCACCTTCAGAAACAATTGAAGCTATCTGGAGGCGATATGCCTCGCGACAGCAAGGTTGCGATTCTCAAGGATTCATTAGCCGCCATTGGTCGTCGTATTGATCACGTCTTGGAAATGAAAAAGAATGCGGGTGAGGATGTCGATAGATGGAGACGCCATCTGTGGACGTAAGTCATCTACACATTCATCATTGTGATCAAGTTATTAATGTCCGGATCTGATACAGCTTCGTTACCTTGTTCTGGCCGAAACAAGTGAAGGCGTCCAAGCTTGAGGAGATTCATGCCAAGATGGTGATGAAGGAAGGTGCACCACGACAGTCTTCTTCGGGTTCTGTCAAGCCGCCTCGTCCTACGACGAGCGTAAAAACCAACGGAGCCATCCCAAGCGCGTCTTCCACACCTCCGTCTCATCGTATGAATGGCAGCAAGCCTCACCGGTGAGACTCGGACGGACAAGACAGACGGTATTAATTCACTCCGCGGTTTCCCTTGTTTTACCCCCTTCCTGTGTATTGGTGTATACATACATTGGGTTTTCTCTCATTTCGTCTCACCCCTTCAAGTTGCCTGATTCAATGCATGCAAAATCATATTGCCATTTTAGTAGCTCTAATCGTTACCTTTCTATTTCTTTTTTTCGTTTCTCGGAGTTGGAGTCTCTCTCTCCCCTCAATTAACATGCTGGTAGTGATTCTTTCCGTCTTTTCATAGCGCAATCTCAATATCTCTCTTTCTATGTTTCTTTTTCTTTTTCTTTTCTTTTCTTTGTGTATCATTTCTCTCTACCTACATGTGTATATTTTCATTGTTTACTTTACACCTTTGTGGAAGGCGGTCTTACAAATGTAGATTGCTGACTAGAACAATACATTGCTGTCCATACCCCTCAGGCTCCCCACTATTTAGCAATTAGCAATGTCAGACTCTTAGCCACAATGTTTCTTACGACGTTGGAGGCAGTGCATTATTTTATTATTGATTTTTACTTTATCTATCGAGGCCAGTAAAATAACTACTACTGCAATGGTTACTTTACCATCCGTGCTCGTATTTAGGTAGTGAAACGACCAAGACTCCCTCTCGATCTTGAGCGGTTGGTTCACCGAAATGAGACCAACATGATTTACAGATCTTGAAAGGCGTTTGACCGAGTCGGATGTCATTGACGATTGATAGGGCAGCGGGGACGCGGCTGCAGGACATACAGAGGTCTATGATTGGTGGTGCGATGTGTGTGGTGAGAGGGTAGCTGGATGGTGGGTCAGTGGGATGTAGCATCCTAAAAGAGTGAAAGATAAGTTAAAAATACAATTTGGTCATTTTTGTTGTAGTTGAATAAACGCTGATGTTTTTTTTACGTACCGTATACTATCTACAACGAGGAAGTGTTCACAAGAGCCTTGGTGGAGTAACCAATATGCTTGGTTCACGCGGAGTGAGAGGTCTGCGAATCGTTGGTCGTACATGCAGGTGCCTTTTGTTAGGTGTGGACGTTTCTTTTCTGGGAGTAGTTCTATCTGTTTGAGAAGTTTACTGTAAGAAAAATAAAATATAATAAGTTGTATTATATGTCAGTATTCGTTCTGAGATTGGAACGGGGATAAACGGAAGAACGGAAAAACAATACTAACTCCGAGTAATCTACCTCAGCCATCCCATCCCCATATACAACACCTTCGATACATACAACGGCACCACGGTGTGGCGGCGAAACAAAGTCGGCGGAATTATCATCATCCTCGGAAGGAATTTCATTCGACGGACACGGAATCACGTCGTACAAGTCACCTAGGGTCTGCGAGGCGAGGACAACGTGTTGCGAAGAGCGGGAAAGATGATTACCCCAGGACAGACGGTTATAAATAGATATGACTAAAATAGCATCGGTTTCTCCTTGTGGATGTGGATGTGCGGATGAAGACGGAGATGTTCGGTCCTGTGAAGAACATGATGCTTTCTATAGCATCCTCATCATCAGCTTGATTGTACAAAACGAAAGATGTTAATGACGGATTTACCGGTTTTGTTAGCGTATTGAGATCTGAGTTTTTGGGCGGTCGTGTAACGAAAGCGGCGTCAGGGGGATAACTATGGTGACTTGGTGAGCGATTGGTCTAAGGTTATCAACCATAGCCAGGGGAAGTAATGAAACGCACGACCAGCACGACAGTGCGATTCGTTCTAGGTTATTCCGCAACTGTTGAACTTCGGAATTCCATTGTGTTGGTATTTCCCCGCAAGTACCAGATGATGGTAGTTTACTAATCCGTTTTCGTTTTCTGTTACTTGATTTGGGAGGGTTCAAGGTTTGACTGGGACTACTAGCGTCCGCAGGTTTCGGCGGCGCAGCTCGAATTGAATGAATTGCATCTTCGTGGCTTCGGATGAGAAATGAGTATTGGAATGGACTTGAAAGAGTTTGGTTCAGAGAGGATTCCAAGTCGGCGACACTGCGTGTGAGAATTAGAAGAATACGACGACTATGGAGGGCGACAATTCCCACCTACACTCGCGTTCTATTGCACGTTTCGTTTCATTGGAGAGGTCACTCCACGAAGTCGCACGGTGGGCGTAGCGCGCCGCAGAGGAAGAATGGGACAAGCACCTTTGGATGAATCCGGAGGGAGAGATAGGGTGAGAAGACGGACCGATGAGTGCCTCGATGGCATAGGAAGCAGATGCGCTCATGACTAGTGGTAGTGAACTGTGGTACTGGTTAAGTCGAGCGAAGTGCCGCGTGAAAAGTTGCACAGGATATATGTGCAGCGGCGATGACGATCCTCACGCTCGGACGTGGACCTTGATGTGCGGCGTTACGCGTGACGGTAACTATTCACCCTTGTAACGTTGCGACCTCCCACTCCCGACCTTCCCACTGTCGTTCTGCTCCTTCTCCCTCTCTTACCTTTCGTCATTCACTCCTCCCACTCTCATCCCCGACGCTGTCGATAGCATACGCGCTCTGCGCAACGTGCTGGACAGGCAGCACACATGATCCTCCTCGAAGTCGTCGATGCCGAACGCCGTAAAGTCGTAGCCGCCTTGACCGGATCCGACGAGGGTCCCTCCAGACGCAGAAACGATGTCGTCCGCCAACCAGAGGCTTCTGGCTCGGGCACAGACCCGCCGGACTATGCTACCTCACAGGCTCAGGCTGAGAATCAGAAGGGAGACGAGGAGGACCTGAAGAAGCCTGCAACCGCTAAAAGATGGACTGACAGACGCCTGGGGCGGTTTATAGTCTATGCTTTGATCATTTACCTTGTACTCAGTATTTCGATTGCCGTTCCTTTATACATCGTGGTACGTCTTGTAATGTTTCATATCCCTGCCGAATTTCTCTGACTTGTTTCTTCATTAGTTGCGAAATAATGAAAGGAAAAATGCTTTCAACAATGCGGAAAATTGGATGAAGGAAGGCGCACCACCCCCACCCCCACCTCCCGATGTTTTACCGACAGATGTGCTGGCTTCTCCCTTCTTCTATGGCTACCCGCTCAATTGCAATAATTGGACATATGTTGCTGCATCTGGCCCGGATAACGGATTCTACACGTGAGTAACAAAAGCAACTTGTTAAGATCGTCAAACTCATGGCTATTAGGTTACAATATTCTCTACCTTTAAATGAAGCGGTGTATGTCCGGTCGAACTTTTCCGACCTCGATGATGAGGGAGACATCTTTTCGCCGATGACTGGTAACATACGCGTCAGTGTGGGAAATGATACTTCACAAACGAATGCGACCGTCACCGTTAAGATGAAGGACATCGGACCCGCAACGAATGAGTCTAGTACTTGTCTTATGGGTGGAAATGGGACATGGGGTGTCGCTATATTCGTACGGGCGAATTAACTGGCCAACGTCTGTATGATATTGATAATTTTTTAGGTCCCTAACAATCCGGACGAGTATAAGTTCTTCTTTGACGTGGACTTTGTACTCCCCCCTCACTACGATCATCCCCTCGGTACTCTGGCTACCTTCATGCCTCTGTCCAACCAATCTTTCTCGTCACTGGACGCCTACCCGGATTTGGGGGATCTTGACGTCAGAGGGTCTCTGGGTTCCATTAACATTGAGGTAAGTCGACTTCCTTGAAAGTCATATAGTTTTCCATTTTTATGAATATCCCTATGCCTTTCAGTCGGTACATGCAAACAATATCCTAGTGAAGACGTCTGCTTCGAGCATAACGGGAACATTCAACGCCTCGAACACACTCCGATTAGAGACGGTCCTGCGGTATGTCCAGCTTATCCAAATAAGTTCCGCATTGTCTCACCATCCGTAGACCTATTACAGCGAACATTTCGATGTACAACGATGGATTTGAGTCGCCTCCGTCGATAATTGATGTTATGACGGGCAACAAGTGAGTATCTTCGCCAGGGAGATGTTGTCAGGTAGACTGATCGTGTATGCCGATTTGTAGTAGCGTGAATTTAAGTGTTACCTTGTACGGGCCTATGAACGCCAGCGCCTACTGTTCTCCGACATTCATGAGCAACGTACGAACGTTCAGCGGTCCGATAGACGCTGCATATTACCACGACTCTTCTCTCCTTTCTTCCGTCCTCTACGCTCGTACATCAAGTAGTTTTGAGCCAGCTCGAGTATTCGTGGATAGAATATTCGAAGGTGCGTTCATATTGTAGATTACGGTGGGGAGATATGTTACTTACGGATGAACAGGAACATATGATGTCCAAACAACTTTGAGTGATGCCATCGTCAATCAATCGTCGGATCTTGTTGATCCTTCAGGTGCCGGCAGGAATAGGCAGTACCAACTAGACTATACTTCGCCGACTCGATCATATGGCTGGGTAGGATGGGGCTTACGACCGTCAGATAAACGATTTTGGCAACAGGGTCACATCGAAGTCGAGTCAAGCCTAGCGAACGCAGAGTTACAGCTCACCGACATACCATATTATGGTGGTGACAACGATGACGACGACAAAGTAAGCATGGTGAAGTCCCCAAAAGACGATAAGGACCCGCATAGATAGCCCGTTCGTTTCGTTCCGTTCATTCGTTTCTTATGGGCTTTCCGCTTTGCTTTGACATATCTTACTTATCCTTTGGGCATGTACTTTGATGTATTTTATCACATTCATTTCATTTCCTTCGCAAGTTTTGTTTTTTTTTCTTTTACGCAAGCAAAATATGATAGTTTATTGCATTATTTGATCCACTTACATTCGTGTTTTGATGACGTTCCTTGATTTGGTAACGGTGATCCACCACAATTGAAGATAATAAAAATAATATAAACGTCTCTTACTTCAAACTTCAATCTAGAGTGACCCGAAATACAACATGCTTCAAGAGTTAGGAAACTCTCGACTCTACCTCTGTCAGCGACATAATCGATAGGGCAGACGAAGAAGTAAAAACGTTGCTACCGGGTTACAAAGATATACAAGCCAGCTTATTCACTTACGCCGAAATGTCTAACGATGGCGTGCTCAAGACGAATAACTTTGACTTTTCTCTTTCGGTGGACATGCAAGCAAACACTACAAATACCCGTACCTATCTTGAATCTCCTTCCCTGTATTTGCCAGCGCTGCAGCTTTTGCCTGGATCTTACAAGCCGTCTGAATTTTTAATTGGCTAAGGATGGCTAACACTCCGCACGGTGGTGTGCTCAAGGTACGTCCGGAATGGAATGCATATACTGAGATGCACTGCTGATTTTATTTGCTGTTAATTGTTGTCCCGTTTGACAGGACCTCCTTGCTCGCGACGAGCCGATTCGTGAATTGCTAGCAGCTGAAGCGCATGGTCTGAAGGAAATTATCCTTACAGAGGTGCGTAGCAAATATCCTGATTTATTCCATTTGCACGGTTTATTCACGGATGCATGACAGAGACAACTATGTGATCTTGAATTGACGATGAACGGTGGTTTCAGTCCCTTAGAAGGATTTATGAACGAGAAGGACTACAATTCGTATGTGCTTTATCTGATTATCTAGAATGGTAAAGACATGGTGCGCTGAAGTGTGATTGGCATTTCTCAGTGTAGTTGAGACGTTACGACTAGCGGACGGTACACTGTTCCCAATCCCAGTTACCTTAGATGTATCGCGAGAGGATATCGATCGGTTGGAGCTCGCACCAGGTACTCGACTTGCTCTGCGAGATCCCCGCGATGACGAGGCTTTAGCTATACTAACTGGTGCGAATTAAGATCTGTTAGCTGCTATAATTTCAAGGCTCATGCATTTATAATTAGTTGAGGACATATACCAACCTGATCTCGTCAAAGAGGCTATCAACGTCTTCGGAGATGATGACCCGGCCCACCCTTCAGTTGCGTATCTCCGAAATCGCGTTAAGGATTTCTATATTGGAGGCAAAGTCCAAGCCATCCAAGCACCGACTTATTTTGATTATGTTGCATTGCGCTGTGAGGAGTACATTCATTTCCAAGGGCTTGCTTGATTCTTATAATAAATGCGCATACAGATACTCCAGCCGAACTTCGAGCCCACTTCAAGAAACTCGCATGGCGCAAAGTCGTCGCGTTCCAGACCCGTAACCCAATGCATCGTGCTCACCGCGAGCTCACAGTGCGCGCCGCACGCCAACGACTAGCAAACGTACTCATCCATCCTGTAGTCGGGCTGACGAAGCCCGGTGACGTAGACCATTATACGCGCGTGCGCGTCTACGAGGCAATCATGCCAAAATACCCTAATGGTATGGCTCATTTGGCTCTGCTTCCACTTGCAATGCGCATGGCTGGACCGCGAGAGGCTGTTTGGCATGCGATTATCCGCAAGAACTTTGGTGCGACGCATTTTATTGTTGGTCGGGATCACGCGGGACCGGGGAAGAATAGTCAAGGAAAGGACTTTTATGGACCGTACGATGCTCAGGAACTCGTAACGAAGTACCATGAGGAACTGGCTATTGAGATGGTTCCATTCCAGCAGATGACGTACCTCCCGTCGACAGACGAGTACCAACCGATTGACGAAGTCCCGAAAGGTGTTCAGACGTTGGATATTTCTGGGACAGAGCTTCGAAAACGTCTGCGCACGGGAGCTGCAATTCCGGACTGGTTTAGCTATGAGTAAGCTTATTACCTTCCCCGCATCAGATGAGGAGTCTGATCCACCATGCCTTGTCTTTTCATAGTACGGTTGTCAAGGCCCTTCGTGAGAGTTATCCTCCCAGGAACAAGCAAGGATTTGTTCTCTTCTTGACAGGTTTATACAATTCCGGAGCCGACAGGATAGCGAAAGCTCTACAGGTGACACTTAATCAACAAGGTGGACGTAGTGTATCGCTATTGCTCGGCGAGACTGTCCGTTCGGAGCTTTCGGCAGGTGTGTTATTCTTCTTTCCACGTAAATATTTGATGGTCCATATTGATTGTACACGTACGCTGTCTTCTTTGTCAGAGCTCGGCTTCTCGCCGGAGGACCGTCACAAGAATCTCTTGCGGATTGCGTTTGTGGCAGGAGAATTGGCACGAGCTGGAGCCGCGGTGATTGCAGCACCCATTGCTCCATACGAGCGCTCCCGTGCAGCGGCCCGGGACCATATTATTCATTCTGCCGCGTCAGGCAGCAATGTGTATACTATTCATGTTGCGACGCCTCTAGAGCACTGTGAAGCGACTGACCGCAGGGGACGTTACGCGGCGGCTCGACGGGGAGAGATCAAGGGATTCACAGGTGTTGACGACGTGTACGAGGCGCCTGATCGCGCAGACATCACTGTCGACGTCACGAAGCAGAGTGTGCCGGAGATTGTGCACAGTAAGTATTTGATCTTTTTGGAGCTTTGTAATGAGGGGCTCAAACTTCTGTCTGTCTGCAGGTATTGTTCTTCTGCTGGAGACGAACTCGCTTCTATGAGACTCGTTGTAGTGTGACTGCTGTATACAAGAGCTACGTTACCTAGAGTAGACAGAATAAAAAGAGAGGACTGCAGAAGGTACTTTAGATGCTGGGAAAAGAATAGAAAAGAAAAAGAAAATCAATATGATGTCGATCAAAAGGATTAGATGTGGTGACTAATATTTCCGTATAAGGGAGGGGTGTTTTGGCCCTGGCATGTCGCTTCGTCGTCGTCTCCTGCACTCGTCCTCGAGCGTGCCGTCCTCCCTTTCTTCTTCCTCCCTTCTCGTTCTCATCCATGGCCGCCGCGTCCGTCACCTCCACCCAGCCCCCTACCCAGCAGAAGGACCCGTCGCCCAAGAAGCCTCTCGCCTTCACCAGTAGTTCTAGTCGTAAGCTCTCTAAGAAGGGCAGGGACGGTGCAAACGGCCTTCAGCAACGTCCAGGCGACGATACGGCCGTCAATACAGATACCCAGGAAAATACTGGTGCAGCGACAGCGGCGCCTTCATCAGGTGAGCCTGGTGGGTTCGATGTCCGGTGTCGGCGCTATTTAACTGAGCGACAACCAATTTCTCATGTAGGCGCTGGTACATGGCAGGATCCATCCACGTCCCCGCAGGTCGTCCATCTTCAGACTAGTTCTTCTGTCCGCGAGGGAGATAGCGGTCATTCACACTCTGTAGAACAAGGCACAATAACAAGTACGGGCGAACGTGATACACAGAAGGAGAAGTCCTCTCTGTCGACGACGTTGACGGGCACAGCAACATCCAAGCATCGCAAGGAGAAGACATCTGAAACTGCACATTCGACTATCTACGAGGAAAAGAAAAACCCGCGTTCGAAGGCGAGGAAAGATGGACCGGGAAAGAAGAAGAAAAAGTCCATATGGTCGAAGCTGGCTTCTGCCGTCTTCAAGTGTACGTGGCCTTCGGACTCTACTCATCCTGTCGATATCGACGAGGGCACAACAGGCGTATCTGACCCCAGCTCGTCGGGCAATCGTGCCAAGGAGCTTCCGGTGTCCGAAAAAACCAAGGAAGGCGAGCCACCTAAAGAGCCTGAGGTCCCAGGCCCGAGTGCTCCGGGTGCTCCAAGCACTGATGCAGCACCCCAGCAGCCCACCTCGACAAATGGCGAAACCACTCCCATTACAACAGCCCCAGACCTCACCCTCCCTGCAACTGAAGATCCAGCCGTCGTCGTTCCACCCTCGCCCACTCATCATGTTTTGCCAGACGATGTAACAGCAGGTATGACGTCTGGTGCTGTCGTGCCACCTGGATCAACCGGTGTCGAAACAGGTGAGGACTCTGATGAATCCAGCATGCTTGGCGAAGACGAAGAACGCAAAATGGAAGAGGAGGACGAGGAGGATCGTCTAATTCTAAACGGCGGCGCTGGTATCCCTATTGGTCCGGACGGCATCCCACGACCTCTTCTGCCACCTATTGCACCTCAACACGCCGGTCGCAAATGCCTGGTACTGGACTTAGATGAGACACTCGTGCACAGCAGTTTCAAGGTATGGCTTTTTTTTGCTTCCGCTTCTAAGACGGTCTTTTTCACTGACTCTTCTGTTAGTCAATACAACATGCCGACTACGTGGTACCAGTCGAAATTGAGTATCACTGGCACAACGTGTATGTTATCAAGCGGCCTGGTGTCGACAGCTTCCTGAAGAAAATGGGGGAGATCTATGAAGTAGTCGTGTTCACCGCGAGTCTAAGCAAAGTGGGTCCGGGGTCTTTGCATCCGCAATTGGTAATCTAACTATCTTATTTCCGATAGTACGCGGATCCCGTGTTGGACAAACTGGATATTCACAATGTCGTCGCTCACCGATTATTCCGTGAGAGCTGCTATAATCATAAGGGAAACTACGTCAAGGTAAATCATCTACAGCAATTTCGGGTGACTTCGATAATTGATCGTTGCTGTCTAGGATCTATCTCAACTAGGGCGCCCAATTGAAGACACGATCATCCTGGACAACTCTCCTGCATCCTATATTTTCCACCCTAACAACGCTGTTCCGGTGTCTTCGTGGTTCAACGATCCACACGATACCGAACTGACAGATCTTTGTCCTTTCCTCGCCGACCTCGCAACCGTCGACGATGTCCGAGGCGTGCTGGATGGTGGATTATGATTCTTAGATTCATGCCGTGGTTAAACTCTACTACACAGACAAACCTTTCATCAATTACTTTCAATGTCGCTTCTGGTAAATACATCCACTCCGCGTCAACAATTGAATTCACGCCTATATACCCCCACGCAATTTCGCTATCCTGCTTCGCAATAATCTTCTCTCCGGTTGTGTTTTCTCCTCAATTTTCCACCCAACATCCTTTGTGCAGTTGTTCTAGGTACTTGCTCTCCTCTGTTCTTTCACTTATAAGGTCTTTTGTCATTCGTGTTCATCTCTCTGGCGACATCTGAATATACGCCTTCCCACATTCCTTCTTTGTCGGGTTTAGACACCTATCAACTTCTCGCTTCTCTTCTCTCGTTTCCTCTCTTCGCTTCCCAAGGGGGTTTTTTTTTTCACTTTAATCTTCAATCTTCTTCCCTCCGATACCTCCTGCCCCGCAATTTGTGCAATCTTTCTTTCTTTCTTCTGTGCAATCCAATCTCTTTATTTACACACTACCACGAAGCCCCGTTACGAGTGTGATGAATGAAAAATACGTATCTGATCCCACTACCACCACCACCACATTCTTCCCACCCACCTGCCATTTTCTTTTTCAATTTATTTTTCTCTTCCTCGTCTGTGCGGAATCTTCCTTTTCTAGCCTTTTCTCCAATTACAGTTTCAGTTCAACTGCGTGCTCCTCAATTTGTATCTTCTTCCTTCTCGCCATCCTATTCATTTCATCCCCCCTTCCGTCAGTACCTATAGGACACTCGTATATCTCTTCCTTTCCCCCCTTTCCCCTCTGCCATTCAAAAAGTTCTCGCTCCATGTTCATCCGTGGGCCATTCTTGCATGTATGTATTTTCGTTTCGACAAGACGAGCAAGCCGTATTATCCCTGCTCTCTAAATTCATTTGGCTTTTGGCTTTGACTTTGGGTTATGTTTTTTTGTTCCACTTTTAACCCTGAGTCCTGAAAGCCCTGGTAATTTCTTTAAAAAAAAGGGACACCTCGTCATGTATACACACACGTACATACATACGTATGGTAATGGCTTTTGAATGAATGAATGGGAACTACGTGGATGACTTAATTCGTCGGTGATGGAATTCAATTCAAGTCATAAATAAAATATTGATTGATTGTCTTTTCGAACTCGAACTTCAATGTGTATGTGCAAGAGAGTCTACTTTATATCATATATGTAGTAGTGAGGTTGACTGATACAACCAAATGAACCAATGATGATGACATTAATTATTTAATATATATAAAATACCGTATATTGATGGTGACAACAATGACAAGAAATAAACAACGGATCACAGTATGATTTTTTACTGTATCTATATATTTGTGAGACAGACAGGGCAGGAATGAGTGTGTATGCTAATTCAGCATTTGGATCTTTCAGTACAAGGCACCAATGAGAAGAAACAGAGGGTGGACGAAGGGATGATTACTACTGCAATGCGAGGAACTGTAGCTCAGGCTTGGTAATGACGGCAGGGGCAAGGGCAAGGGCAAGACAGATATGTGGGCAGGTGAGATATTGATAGACTGACTATATAGTTATGTTATGTTATGTATGTATGCCGTTAGCATTTTGCAAGATCAGGTAACGATAACGATGTCAATTTCTCTTTTTAATACTTTTTCCTCTTCGCCATTCTCCCTATCGCCCAATAACGTGCAACTAACCTTCCACAACACAATAATAAATCCTTCGCTTCGCTTCCCACAGCACACAGTACCCTCGAATATTTATGGTGGGACTACAACACACAGAACTGCTACATCACTTCACCACGTTCCCCATTCACGCGTTAGTGCGAACCCTCCTTACTGCTCTCCGCACTCTCTTCGGAAGAGCTACCAGACCCAGAGTGCAAGCTAGTCACTTTCGGCTCGTCATCTTCGAACGGGGAGAATCCCTTCGAGCCATTAACACGTAGCCCGAACGCTACATTCGTATCCCACGGCCGAGTAGGGGCTTGGCTATTACTATGCACGAGCGCAGGCTTTGATTGAGGTGATATAGGCAAGCTCGGGAACCCATCCAGCTTGTCAAGACTCGAGTTGGCCGTTCCGCCAAGCGCACGGCTGAGTTGTTCACGCTCAAGAGGCGTCGGCGCGAAGGCACGCGAAGATCCTCCGAACCAGGACGATCCAAAGCCTAGCAAAGACGCGGCAGTTGTTGTACGAGGGGCAGCAGCAGGCGTACTTTGTCCCTGTGGAGAGCCGTTCTTAACAGTCGTTGCAGAGCTTAACGAAGGCGAGCTAACAAGGGACGAAGAATCCGGTGTCGAAAGCGATGCACTGGAAGGCGTAGAAGACGTCCCCGAGCTCGAGCTGTGTCCCGATCCACGCGAACGAGAAAGAAGCGCAGAGAACGAGCGTTCCTTATCCTTCGACAGACTGAACTCCTTCGCATCGGGGTTCAGACCTTTCTTCTCTGGTGAAGTCTTCGAGCACTTATCCTTGTGCGAAGCGAACCACCCAGATCGACGCCCCGATGTATCTGCTGCGGCTTCGACATGATCGTCATATGCATATGGAATCAAAGCCTGACGAAGCGCAAAACTCGCGCCGGATGACCTACTCGGGAACGTGGCACGCTGTAGGTCCATGGGTTGAGAAGTAGTACGTTCGCGGACTTTCTGGCCCATCTCGTATGCTTCCAATGTATCAGGGCTGTATGTAGATGCAGCAGGAGATACAGGTGATGTATGCACACCAGGACTCGATGAAGGGAACATCACTGGTTGGCCGACATCTCCGACTGAGAGCTTACGATGCACAGGCCAATTGCGGTCAAGAACAGCGTCGTCCTCTGATTGGAAGGAACGTGAGATGTCCATGGACGTAGCGCTTACAGGTGAGTCAGTGTTGATCGGAATAGCCATCCCCAACGACTCGTACAAGCTACTAGGAAGAAGACTCTCGCCGGTCGGGGAGATTGGACCAGGTGAAGCAAGCTCGCTGCTGAAGGGTGCAAATTTATGTGGAAGCGAATTCCTATTTGGGCGATGAGACCCGAAATCCAAGTTAAAAGGCGAATACCCATTTGCTAGATTCGCGTCTAAAGGCGTCGGAATAGGTGGACCGGGTCGGGACACATGGTAAGTGTGAGCTTCTGCAGGTGCAGTACTGAGCGGTGAATCGGGAATAGACTTCCTGATAGGAGATGACGGTTGAACATCCATCTTATCAGTGAATTTACCCTCCGATGGCTTGACTTGTAATTGTGGAAACTGATAGCTTGCACCGGTGTTACTCCCGTTCGTGTACGTCAGAAGGGATCTGTCACCGTACGATGTATGCTGGGAGTATAGGTACGCCGCGTTGGATTTCTGCCTCCTTTCATCCGCCTCCGCCTTCGCAACCTCCAAACGATGTTCTTCATCGCTGACTTTCTCTTCCATCTCCCGCAATTGTGAGCTAAGTTGTGCCAACTCATCCTCCACAGTTCGGACTTCGGAACGCTTCTCTTCAATTTGCTCTTGAAGGTCCGTCACTAATGCACCAGTCTCCACCCCCGACGATACAATAGCAGCACCATGTGCCTCCATCTGAGTTTGCAACGTGTTGATCTCACGTTCAGAACGTTCTATTCGAGCTTCTGCCTTGCCCCTTTCCGATTGTGCAGCTCTTAATCGCTTCTCTGCATCACGTCGTGCGGCCTCGGTCGAACGTTTCTGGTCTTCTAGTGTCTTTGTATGTGCTTTTAACTCAGCTTTGGCCGCGTCATCAGCCCGTTTACGCTCGCGCTGTCTTGCCAGTTCGTCGTCCAGTGCATTACGTGCCTGAGTCGACGAAGCGTTGAAATCCCTTAGTTGAGCATGTAAATCCGAAATTGCGCTTTGCGACGAAGAGATTTGCCGCAAGATCTCTGCAATCAAAGGCGAAGAGGCAAACAGAGTGGAAGGTGATCTTGACGGGGAAGCAGAGGGCGTGCTTGATGGCGCTAGCACAGGCAAGGAAGTCGCATTGACAGAACAAAATTCCGGCGTGATTGAGATCGGAGGTTGAATTACACCTGATGGCACCGATGGATCCGTGAAAGAGTTGTTGTTCGAGTGATGACTATTGGGACCACCATTAAGTGCCTTGTCAGACTGCAGTGTATGAGATCCTCTTTTAGTATGCAGTGGCAGTGAAGCAGACTTCGGCAAAGGCGGGGGCGTTTGACTGCGATGACTGAGCGCGTTGCCATTCTGATGTGCAAACCGTTCACGCGATCGTAACTTCGGACTTGTTCGCTGACCATGATTTAAATTACCGTTCCCATATTGCGCATGAGAAGAGCCTAGGGGAAAAACACGTTTGAAGTTAGTGAAGAGAAGAGCAAGCATAAGGACTGTACGCACGATTAGAATCATCAGATCGATCAAGGGCTTTTATTTCCAAAACGCCAGTAATCGTTCCATCTGCCTCATCCTTCTCAATCAGCCCAGCATCCTTCCACAGCCCATCTAAATTGACAGCCCAAAACCACATGCCGAAAGCCCCGATAAACCACGAGTCGGAAATTAACGCAGTAGACGCGTTCGAGGCGCCATCTCTATCGGTCCGAGTGGCGGACTCGTCACCACGCTGGCCTCGAATAGGCGATGATCGATGTGACGACGAAGTTGGAACGACCGCTGCGATAGAAAAAATGCCAAAAGACCGAAAAATATGTTTGGGGGTACGCAGCGAGACAGAGGCTCGACTGGCGAAAGGAAATGGCGGAGACGAAATTGCAGTGATAGACCGATTCTTGTGAAAGCTGCTTGGACCCCGCCGATAGAGAGCATCAGTCTTTGTGGACGAGCCCGCAGACTCCAACTCGTCCTGGGTGTCAGCATCGTCGAGTCTGCTGAGATGGTGGCGGAAAGCCTGCTCGGTGAGGAAAGCGCGGAATGAGGTCTCCGACGGATTGGTCAAATAGGCTAAAGTAGAAAGAACAACGATGAGGGGTTGATGTGTTTGAAAGGAGAGGAAGAGCAGAAATGCATGAATGTGGGCGCTTGTGACTCACCAAGGACAAGCAAGACAAAGAAGACCACGACGGACAAGAGCATAGACCTGAGTTGGAAGAGCGCAGAGAACCTGGAGAATGTAGATGGCTGGAGCGGCCGAAAACCAGACATGACGGCGAGACTGCCGAGCGTGAAACCCATGAGGAGGAGAGTGCGAGAAGCCTGAACGCCGACTTTGACGGAGGCGGGCGGGGTCTGAGCGGAGGGTCTAGTATGTTGAGGCGACGTTGTCGTCGTCGGTGAGTGTGTTGAGTGAGTTGTTGTGAGGCATCGGGCGACGTCGCCGGGGTTGACGACGCCGACAATGAAGATGTAAGAGAGGGAGTGTAAGAATCGGACCAGCCTTGGCACAGATCAACGACTCAGCCCCATCAATCGCGTGTGCATGGGAACCACTTGCCTATCCGGGGTTTCGCTACCGAACGTCAATGAATTAATGAAACACAGGGAAAAAAACTTTGCAAAAATAGTCATGCCAAGATAGGAATGCAAGTGATTTTCTTGAATTCTTTCATCAAATCATTCCTCTTCTTACCTCCGCCCAAAGCTGACCCTGTCCAAGCACGACATAACGCTTACTCCCCGCAATTTTCTTCATTTCTCGCTCCTCTTTTCAACCCAGATCTCCCACTAGGCGTCTTCTCCCATACACATCCCTCCTTCTCTTACTACCGCGGAACTTCCTCAATTCAGATCCCATTGCACGAGGGAAACTCCGGTGACGAGCTCTTTCGGTTCTGAACTCACCGTGCTTGCACACGATCAGATGGACATGCCCATTGCCCATGTCAATTTACAGCATGTCATCATACAATTCAATCAGATACTCTAAGGGTCATCTGTTACTCTTCTTTTACTCTTCTTCCACCGCCGACATATGCCGGTTTTGACAGTCCAGCATGAAAAAAGGACTCGTATCGCATTCTCGTCACTCCACAGTAACTATCGAGCTGCTTCGATGTTCGACATCCCGCTCGTCATCGCATTTAGGGGTTCGATACATACTCATATCTGCACTCGTGCTCTATCTTTACCGGACACGCGCCTATAACCGTTCCCGAATTTCTAGCGAAGACGTGTCCAAAACGATCATAGATAACGATATGTATCATCCCTATCTGCTACTTAAAGAGAGACTTACTTTCAGCGGATAGTTGCTCTAATGAGACGGGAACTCTCTTCACCATGTTCATGTTTATCCACATGATAAACCTACCCATAATCTTAAAAGAGACGAAAACTCTTACCACGTTCATGTTTATCCACATGATTATGATCATAAAGAACGATAAACTTACCCACCAAAGCCTCATAAATATCGCCGCCGGCTCCGTCGTGTGCCAGCAAGTCCATATGCAACCAGTTCCGCAAATAGATTTGGTGCTTGGCTCTCTGAATTCTGAATTCTGATATCTCAAGATCTATCTTCCCAAACTCTGTTAATTCTTTCCAGTAAACACACGTCGACTTCGCGACGAAAGCGGGGTGATCGACATTTGGCTCACTCCCGATAGCAACGGGCGCAGTGGGATTCTGGGTAAAACCTTAACGTTGCACTACTCAGTGACTACTGGACTTCCTCCGCTTCTTCGCATTGTCAAAGAACTTCAAGAAGCCATTGTTTGTCATATGACGATACGATAATTATATCTCTAACTGCTGGCGAAACATTTCGTGTTGAGTATCCCGTACCACAATGTTAGTTAGATAGTAAATATACATCAGTGAACAATGGAAGCCATGAAGAAAATTGCGTGTAATGCAAAGTTCTAGTGGAATAAACCAGTTTTTGAATCGTCTGTCCTCCAAAAAAATGAATATGCATCCAAAAAGATCATATCTAATCAAACTTTCGAGCCTTGAACGCCCATCAAGCCATGTAACTCCTCCGTATCTCTTCCAACTCGTCATGCAACCGCTTATGCTGTTCCGTCACCCGTTGGATCTCCTCCAAAGGAGGTAAATCGAAATCCATATCCGAATCACCACTAGCCGACTCAGAACCATTTCGCAGAGCTTCCTTGAGTTTGTTTTTCTGTGCGACGAGTTTTTGGAGAGCAGCCATGTACTCGGTGTATTTGCTGTTATAACGCGAACGCAGTTGATCGCGTCTCGACAGCTTAGGAGCAGGTTTGCGTTTGCGTGGCCGGACTTCAGGTGTAGCTGAGGTAGAGGCAGTGGCGCCGTTCTTAGTTGGTGCTGGGTGCGATGAAGCTACAGTTTTCGTCATTGACTTCAGGATCTTTGGCTCCGGTGCTTCGTCCTCAGAGGAAGATGTGTAGTCGTAGGAGGCACGACGCTTTTTCAGCGATTTACTGGTTGTCGGGCGAGACAACTCGTCTGCCCTGGGCTCTTTCTTCAAAGGCTTAGCCACTGAAGACGAGGCAACTGTGATCCTTCTGTCTGCTGGTACCTTCGTCTTGGCCGGAGGAGGCGGGGAGGTCTCCCGCTTGATACGTTGTTTCGGTGGAGGAGATTCACGCTTGACAGGTTTCGACGATGATGCTGAAGTTTTAGCAGGTGCTCCCTCCCAATCACGTTTGGTTGCCTTTAGACTCGACTTGCGGATGTTCGATCTATCTTCGTACCCCCAGTCAGATGACTCTTCATCAGATGAATCAGGTGTCTTCCGTTTTGCGCTAGATTTCGCTACCGGTCGCGAGACCTGCTCCCTCTCCTTCAGCTTCTTCTCCTTCACCACTTCGTACTCCCTGTCTCGTCGTTTTGTTACTACTTCCCTATCTGAAGGGGCTCGCGATCTATCGCGCATTCTAATACTCTCCCTATCCGATTCACGCTCCTTCTCTTTTCGAACAACCCGTAGACTCTCTCTATCTGACTCGCGTTCTTTCTCTCTTCGAGGGACCCGGAGACTCTCCCTGTCCGACTCGCGTTCTTTCTCCCTACGAGGTATCCTAAGACTCTCCCTGTCCGACTCCTTCTCCCATTCCCTCTCCCGTTTCGCTATCTTGCGCTCTTTCTCAGGTTGGATTGAGCTTCGCGAAGCGGGGATTGGTATTTCATCCGCCGGATGAGAAGGCCGTACCTTCGGCTGGTTAACTTCTTTCTTTACCGCCGTAGATGCATTGCGTTCTGCAGGAACGGGAGGAGGGATCGGAGGGGCGGCCCGCGCTCGTTCGCTCGGCTCAGGTGGTGCTCGTTTGGGCCCACGCGCGTCTACAGGCCCTGTCCGTTTCAACGGCAGCGACGGTTGCGAGGATGCAGGAATAGGGGGTGGCTTCATTGAGGGCGTCGAAGCACCATTCGGGCGTGATCCGGGCTGGCGCCTATCCACAGGAACGGCAGGTATTCTGGGAGGAGTCTGAGAAGCAGACAATTCACCCTCCTCCTTCTCGGTATCCACTTCTCGTTCTTTGCCCTTAGCGCTATGCAAAGGCGTGGGAGCGCGATCCGGCGCTATATTGGACTTGGTAGGCAAGGGCACCTGAACAGGCGCCTTTCGTGCACCAACTTCTGACTTGCTTTTCATTCCTGGATCTTTCGTCTTTGGTTCCTTACCCTTCGCCTTTGCTTTTGCCGTAGCACTTGTTATCCCATTGGTGGCACGCGGTGTAGAGCTTGCAGCATCAGATGCACCACCGTGTCCGTGGGCACGGAATTTCATATACTCCCAGACAGGATCTGTGTCTGGAATTTTCAGAGCAAAAAGCCAATTCTTTGCATGACGTGCAACTTTCGTGCGCACGTTTTCTGTGTAGCCAGAAAACTGGTATGGACGGACCTCAAGCCACGATTGAGGTTTGAGTTCCCATTTAGTGTCTTGTGACGCCGATGCACCCTTATGCTTTTGTTCTTGCTGAGCAACCTGATCCGGGAGAAGTGTTTCATCATTCTGAGCAATAATGCAATAGCAAATTACGTACTGCAATGAGTATATCCATAATTCCGGTACGAATATCATGGTCCACTTCTTGACCGCCGAACTCTTTAAGAACATCTTGCCTTGTGGCAGCTCCGAGAGCAAGGTAGTGAACGAGTCTTTGGCGATAGGTCGTCGCCATCTCTTTCGGGAGCGCCGCGGACGAAGGACCGGACGTAGACGTAGTCGCATTCGGCGCGGTGGAAGCATAACTCTTGACAATTGTCGGTGTAGATTGAGGAGCAGGCTTCTTTGATGGATCTTTCTTCTGAGCAACATTCGTCATCGCGGATGACTCCTCCAATCGTTTAGCCTTGCTCACATTCTTCTGCTGTTTCGCAGTCACAGTAGCCTCACGCACGCGCTGAGCGATCTTATTATTGAGTACCTTTTCGACAGTGAACTTGCCAACGACATTTGCGTTCAGCTTGAGCGGGGCGTTGGGACGCGCCGCCATCGTAGTTCGTATGAAGAGCTCTTGATTGTCCTTCTCCCTGTCATATCTCATAGGAAAGAATTGATCGCGAATCAAGATACCCTATCATACCCTCAGTATACTTTGGTCACTGCCCGAAGAAGACTTGAGTATACTCACCGGCTTGTCGCCGAGCTCAAAGTCCATCTTGTCTGACGCGGTAAGGTTCTGGAGTGCATCAAGAGTAGCCTCCGTCATGCGGACAAGCATCGCGAACTTTGGCATGGTAGTGACGCCTTCTCCCGGCCGCGAATGGCCTTGCAGCGAAATCGTACTGTTCGCAGGGAGCGGCATGATTCTGATTTAGGCTGTGCTCGAGTCGAGGGGTATGTAGGGAGTCGAGAGGGTATTCAGCGCCACGTAGGGTGCCTACGCAGTCTTATAGTGAGCACAACTACACTGTGGTTATGTTGAAGGGAGAAGACAAGACGCGGAGAGAGGAAGGGTTGAGAGTGGCTCAAGCCACTGGCCAGTGCAACGAGCGAGCAAGGATCACTGCATGCCACAAAAGCCGCTTTGTTACGTAAGCATGAGATTTACTTCCGGGCTATATGGTGAGAATTCCAGTCAGGCAATCGAGCAGGCTATTGCTGGACAGGTAACTATGACTACTATTGCAGCTTTCATACGTATGGTGCCCTGCGATGTAAGCCTGATACGACGTAGCCATTCGCGAAAGAAGAGCAGTTCGGGGCCATAAAATGAGTATGCCTGGCGATACGTTTCCTGAGAAGTGCTGTGACCCATATGAAACAAAATCATCTTCATCCTGTGCTTCCACCAACTCCTGATATGCAAGGAACCACATTTTCACTCACTACGAGAGATCAAATCGGCCGTGGTCTTCATAAGCTCGCCAAGGGCTAACAAACCTCGAAGCTATTACAGAGAGCATGCTTGATTACAGAACTCCAGGAACTATTGGGTATCAGTAGAAATCCAGGCTTGGGTTGTTCACCTCCATGAAAAGGATATAGATTACCTTCTGACGCGATGCTATCGTCGGTGACACTGACTGGAATAATGGCAGTGACTTTATTCCCGGATTGTCCTGTTACAACATCAGGAGCAAGAGACTCAGGAGACTCAAGTAATTGTTATTTACGGTGAAGATTGATCTGGTAGTGTTAAGTATCCAATGAACAGAAGATGTAAGAGTAACACAATTGATTTGAGCAACCGAGGTAAACTCTATCCAATATAGAATTTGTCTGAGTGGTAGTAATATGTAGTGACACTGGAAAGTATCTGATGTACAGTGCAACGACCACAAAATGACCTTCTGCTACAATGCTATTGTGCTCACAGTCGATTTGGACATCAGGACTGAGTTTATTCCTTTTAGTAAGTCAAGAGCGAGAGGCTCAAGAGACTCAGCTTGCACATTATTTGTAGTGAATAGTAGTGTCAGCTGGATAGTAAAAGGGACTATGGTAGAATCGATTCGGCCAAGCAAAGGATTGTACTACCCAATATTTATAATGTCTAAGAAGGTGCAAGAGCAAGAGTCCAGACATTAGAAATAGATGTAGACCGATCTGCCTTGCAAGCCCGAGATCCATCATACCAATGTCCCTTTTCCTTCTAAGCCTTTTCCACTGAAGACGTGATTAGATCCAAGCTAGACAACCTCCTTCGGTAGAGTGAGGATGCTGTAACTCAGTACGGAAACTACTTATACACACCTACTTACAGCCTTTACAAGAAGTACAAAGTAAAGTAGATAAAGACAGAAAGGCTTTGTGTTGTGTCCAAGAAATACCTTTATACACGCATCAAAAGCCTTTCATGTGCCGCTATCAATTCTTTATTGTACTTGTTCAACATTCAACATCCGTTGTAAATGTTGCATCACTTACATACCTGTAAGAGGTATGAGACCTACCATATCTGGCACATGAACGGCCCAAAGAACGTCGCAGAACTTGTAAGTAGATTTGATTATGGTTTCAAATTCTCCTCCAAATACGTTACAAACTTTTCAGCCACTTTGTCTTCACTCCAATCAACAGCACCTTTCTCTGTCGTTCCCAAAGTAATCGCCTTTTTGTGAATCGTAACAAATTGACGTTTGAGTCTTTGTAGCTCCGATAGAGTTATATTTCTGGCCGGTAACCTGAGTCTCGGTTTTACCGTAGCGGATAGTGGCAGGATAATCTCCCCTCCGATGCCTAGACCTTGCGATGCAGCTTGTTCGGAGGTGATCGCAGAGACCATTGCTGCGACTGTTGCTTCAAGTGTGTGTAAAGCATCAGTTGGCGCGACAGCTACCTGTATGCTCAAAATCAGCCGCTGGCGCAGATAGTTGCATAAAGGTGAAACAACATACAGCTGACGTTCCTGCATTAGGAGGCTTTACCACACCCTCCATAATGGCTTTCCAGATATCCTCTTCCGGTAAGTTTTCGTCTGTCCAGGGAACAGTGAAGAGTGGAGAATCCCATCGAACCATGGATGAGGGTTCCTCGTATCGCATGATAAGGTTATCCAGCCTGAGACTCTGATGAAACAGACGATATACAGCAGCAATTTGCAGAACATACGTAGCCGTGCTGTACGAATCACTCTCTTCTTCCCGAGCTGCGTTCCATTCTCGACATTGTTCAGGTTTTGCTACAACAAATACCTGTGCAAATTATAAGCACCATTCTGGGGTTTTGTATTGAGATGAATCACTTGCAGTGCAAACCCGGATTCTGTGTTCTCTCGCAGCACAATACATCTGGTATCTATAGCCTTTGATATAGTTCATTCCGTCCACAATGACAATAGTGTCCTTCCCAATAGCTCGTTGCATCGCAGTAAACAACGAAGCTCGCGCTGGTTTCTCCTGCCGGCCATCTATATAAATCAAGCACCAGTCAGACACAGAGAATTCGAGGTGAAGATGTCTTTTGTATTTAAACGGACCATCATAGACGTGCCTTTTGATGTTCAAATTGTCATCCGAGATTACAGTAACTTTGAGTTTCGGGCCATCGTAAGACGGATTTTGTATTCGGTCTTCAAGGAAGGTCTTCAGTTGTTGCGCTCTGCACGATTTTCCTGATGCTGGGTAGCCAGAGATTGTGACGAGTGCCATGGCGAAATGTTAGCTCTTGATCATAGATGGTAGTCTATGGAGAAGAAATTCGATGCGCGTTGTGTCAACCTTCGGCATCGTCGATCACTCTCAAAATGTAAAATTCATTTACTCTGGCACTCGGAATATACATGCCTCAGGCAAATTTGCCCCTCGTTGCACCTCCAATTGTTATCACAACGTAACAAGCCGACTTTAGTAAGTCATGGTTTCAAAGATAAGGCAACCCAAGTATATGAAGTATGATCAAGACAGCGATGGCATTATGCGAGTGACATGAATGGGGGTTGTGGACATGCGTATAAAGATAGTGGCACAGAGATTATACTAATGCAAAGCAGACAGATCCACCAGCGCCGTCGTCATACAGGAGTAGAAGGGGGTTCATTAGTAGGTTTTTCTGCAGTTTTTGCAGTTAACTCTGCTTCTGCTTCTACAGACGTCTTCATTTCAGCTTCTAAACGCTCCTTCGCTCGTACGACCTTTGACTGTAAGTAATGTGACCAGTATTGCGAGCGGGCTCTACTGCTTGCAACGGGTTTTTCGGGTGGCGGAGGTGGTGAATTAACTTTGAAGAGGTGTTGGTAATTCTGAGGCAAATTCGAGGTGTAAGCTTAAGACATGCTGAGACAGAATACCGATACATACACGAAGCATAGATTCTAATCCGTCTTCTCGTTGGACATTAAGTATCTGACGTGCCTCATCAGCAGTCATTCTGTGTTCTCTAGTGAGCCGATCCGTGATTGAATCTGATGTCGCTCTGTTCACGCCAGCAGCATCTCCTATCGCACCGCCCGCGGGCCTGTGCTGAGCATCTAAATATATCGTTGTAAGCTGCGAAGTAGAACACAGAAAATTCATGAACGCACTCTTGTAAGCCTGTCTCCCAGCTGCTGCGAATGCCTTACCAAAGATCTGAGCTCCAGCAATGACAACCTGGATAATGGCTTTTGGTGCCGACTAAGTATGCCTGTCAGTCTAAGAGTTAGATGAGTGTCACTGGATATGCGTACCATGAAGAGACGGCAGTGGGAGGACCGTAAAGGAGAAGGACAGAAAGGTGTACGTTTTGCAGCCGTCGATCTCCGTGAAATCATCGGTAGCACGTGCCGAATGAATTGTCGACTTTCTCGCCAACCTTCTCGCACCAAAATTCAAATCATGTCTTTATCCTCATCATCCCCTTCGAAAAAGCGAAAACATGAAGCGGTAGCAGAAGACTACTTGTCTTCCCCTCACAAGAAGGCAAAGAAAGATGGGAAAGGAAAAAAGTCAAAAGGGAAGAGCAGAGCCGATGGCCAATTCCAAGTCGTGAACGCGTCTATTCGAGTATCTATCCCGCCGAGATTTTCTTTGGATCCTCTATCGGGTGTAAAAGAGATGCTTGACTCACTGGTAATGAGGTACGAAGACAAAACTTTACGGAAAGTACGCGAGACCCTGACGCTGAAATTTGAAGATACGTTCCTGCTCTGCAAGGTGTTATGCTTTGCCATTCAAACGTGAAATTCATCTCGGATACAGCTATATTAAAGAACGAGTGTCCCTTTTCCGTATGTACTGTGAGCTTCGATGCAACAGTGTGGAGTCCACAAATCGGCATGAAACTAGGTAAGCTTCACTCCCGTAGTTATTTCTAATACCTGGTAGCTCATTTCTGTTGTGCATTGTAGCCGGGACGATAAATTTATGTTCGCCAGATCATATATCATTACTCGTACATCGGACCTTCAACGTTTCTATACCTAGAGAACACATACCAACCGAAAACTGGGCATTCGAGTATGGTCCTGCAGAAAATGATCCTGAATTCGGTCCAAACGCCGCTGATGCCGTGGAGACTGCTGCGGAAGGACAAGAAACGGAAGAGCCGTCGGGCATCTGGGTACATAAGACTACTGCCGATAGATTAGGAGGTAGAGACGGACAGCTCGAATTTACAGTTATCGGGTAAGCACTGTGACTCAGAATATTCTAATTTTCATTTCATTTTATACTGATACGCTATATCTCTCAAGTCTAACTGTCGCAAATCAAATGCTATCATTAAAAGGCTCGATCCAACCAGACCCATTTTCTCCAGATCACGTACCACAACCAGCAGTCCCGTCTGCAAATGCCGACCTCGAGGTAGAAGGTGACAACGAAGACCAGCGAACCGAGGACGAGCAAAGATTGAAGAGTCTTCAGCAAGTTGATGATCCAATTAATGATAGCGACGAAGAAGACCCGTTCAGTCATTTGGGTCGGGCAGCAGACGAATCTCTCGAAAAGGCGGCTGTTGAAAAGGATCGCCTGGAGGACGAGAAGGCGAGAGAAAAGGAGGATAAGAAGAAACGAAAGAGGGAGCGGAAGGAACGAAAAGAGAAGGAGAAGGATTTAACAGCTGTAGTGGGAGCCACTGCGACTGGTCAAGTAGGGCTAAGTAAAGAGGAGAAACCACCTAAAAAGAAACACAAGAAAAAATCACAAGAAACGTAGAAGACGCGCTTTCACTTTACTATTCCATTTCCTGCTTACGTCCACGTTACATGGGTATTTTGTGCATCAAAGCATACCAGCAATACGATCTATCACTGCTTTGCATATCATCATATATTCCGCGACTCGGTGCCAAAGGATCCTTGTAATTACCAGAGACACAATCATTATAAATAATCCACAGAAAGTCCTGCTTATTGTGGACCACAGCAAAATACATCGAGATAGAAAAAGTAGGTTTGCAAAGACCTTAAATCAAGTTGACATAAACAATGCACTACCTGGTATCGTCTACACATCGTCATCTATGACCCGGGCTTCGTCCAGCCTTGCAATTTCGTTCTAACGTCTTTTTAATGCACAACACTCTTGCAACCCGAATATGGAAACGTACCTATCTCTTTACAGTAATCAGATATTTCAGTAACGACCGTCATCTGAATACGCCAGCGGCGCTGATCGGATCGGTTATCATTAGCCTCGCCTGAATCAACGCTCGAAAGATGCAAGTTCCGCCTTGTTTCCTGCTGTTGCCTTTCCAATTCTGCCATTCGTGCGCGAATGTTATCCATTTCCTGCATCACTGAAGACATAGGCACAGGCGTGCTCTGCAGGCTCTCAGGCACGTTGTTTAAGCTGGGTGCTGGGTGCTTCAATATGTTATTCGTCGCCTCTGTGAGGTGCTGACGAGACACTACCCCTGCTCGGCCGCCATGCTCGCTTGTATGGCCTGTCCAACTGCGTCGTCCAGATTCCAGACGCAAAGTTAGTGACACCGCGTTATTTTCGTTCTCTGGGACTGCAGGCAGTACTGATTCTTCGGCATTCTTTTTTCTATGCTCTCTCCTTATCACGGATGGCCAAGGGATTGTGCGGCGTCGAATATATAAGAATATTGCAAGGCAAATGAGAACTGCCCCCAAAACCCCTGTGGTGGGTCCAACGACTCTTGTCTTGGAACTGGAAGAGGTGTTAGCTTGAATGCCTCTTGTAGTTGGTTCTGGTGGGGCTAGCCCTGTTGAATTCATAACTGAAATTATTTGAGTTAATATAATACTCAAATGACAGCTGAATGAAGTGATAAAATACTTGTAGTAAGGGCAGCAGTACTGACAGTAGGACCACCAAGAGTGGTACTCAGAGGTGGTGGACTCTCAGGGGAGGGGGTAACAGTATTGTGAGAGAGTAGGACACTAACTAGCCCTGGACCAACAGAGACTGACATTAATAGGACAACAGTAAGGACAGGAATAAGGAGAAGTAGTATTAGCTGTTTGGGACAATAGTAATTTATATTGTTACACTTACAGTGAAACCTCTCATTAAGCATTGCCCTTGGTGGACATAAAATATAATGCTTAATAAAAGGTTATACTTGTTAACAAGTAAAATTCTAGTGTCTACAAAGGTAATGGTGGACTTGAAATGTCATACTTAGTGAGAGGCTATACTTAATGAGAGTTATACTTAATGAGAGGTTTCACTGTATTTATTTTTAGATACAACTGTAGTATCCATATATCTGTTGATTTATAGATGGTTGTATACTTTATTAGTTGAATCTGATGAGCTCAGTAAACTACCCTACACCTTAAGATAGAGTTTTTGCCTAGTACAAAGGAAGAATACAGATTGTTTATACAAGTTAGTGTTAGTGACAGTGTAGAGGGGACCCAAAGGCTCAGCAAGGGGACCCAGGCTACAACTATCCTACACAATAGAAATACAGAATGTAAGTACTAGAATGTAGTTAGAACTTACAGAACAGACAGAGAGAGAGAGTGAGGCAAGAGTAGTGTTAGCATGTTGAGGTCACAATGTTTCCTAAACAATAGGAAATACTCTTCCATAGGTTTGCATGCTGCTCACAAGGATACTAAGAGTTAGTCACACTAGTAGGGGTTCAGTGGACTCTGCTCATAGTGCATAGGTGTTGATACGAGTCAACTGCATAGTTTGTGATGAGCTTCATTGTCCTTAGATTAAAGTAATATATATGCTATCTAATATTGTATGTCTCGAATGTATGTCTTGGAAGACATGTCTCAGCAATAGTGTATATTTGCAAGACGTTTGTGTGATTTGAGACATATGATGCATTTATCTGAAATAAATGTTAACACTCCCCTTCAAACTTATACTAGTTGATCAGACTAATATAATGTTTGATAAATGTTCGTCCATTGTTTTTACTAATATCATTTACATTCACAATGTAAATGTTTTGTTTGCTTCATATATTAAGTCCACTGTAAGTGTTACATTTGTCCAATGTATTATTATTATGTTTGATGTAATAAATCAATTGTTAATTCAATTATGATTGTTAAGAGAGCTGCAGGATCTCTTTAGCGTTTGTTCGTTTGTAGTTTTATTATTGTTAATGTTATAGTTGTCACTATAATGTTTTATCATTCGTATGATAGTAGTTCTTCTTGTCTGTAATATATTATAATATAATATAACTTTGTTTTGTTTGTTTTTCATGTCATATTGTTTGTTTCGTGTCATAGTATGTTTATTTTATTATACTGCATTGTTCTGCAGTTGTTCCATTATTTGTTCTGTTTGTATTCATATTATTATACATGTAGTTTGTTTTGTATTCTTACACTCAATGTGTAATTATCATTGTAATTCGTTTGTATTGTTTTGTTTGTATAGTTAATACTATATTTAATAACAATGTGTGTGTTATTAATTTGTTCTTGTTAATTCATATTTTTGCACATTTGAATTATGTTACTAGTAGTTTTCCACTTTTACTTTTGTAATGAAACTGTTGAATCATGCCTGTAAAATGTGCTGTCAATGTTATTATGATGTCCTCTATTCATCATGTATCATCTTTGTTTGTGTTTGTTTCATATTCATACCTTTTAAGTATTTAATAGTAGTTCTATGCCTTTATATTGAAGCATTGTATTGTTCATAATTCATAATATCATTTATGATATGTTAGATTGCTTCATATCAAGGTTGATTGAGGTTTTATTCATTGTAATTTGTTTTATTTTTTTCATCTGACTGTTTGTAAGTCTGTTTAGGCACATTATTTATGTTTTAAACATATAGTATGTTTGTATTGTTTTGCTGTTTTGTAATAGATATATCTGATATTGTTATATGTGTGCATTGTGTTTGTTATTGTTTAATGTGTCCTTCAACTTTACAAACTATAACATTATTTGTATGTTTGTATCATTTTATTGTTGTGATAATGTTTTTATTATCATTGTATAGTGTTATTTGATTAATATATTGCTTTGCACAATTATAATATGTGTTCATTGTTTTTATTTTGTAGATAGATGAAATAGTGTGTTTTGCAGTTTTATTTTTCATTGTATATTGTAATATTCGTTTGTTTATTGTTTATTTCGTATCAAATTCCGTTTGATATTGTTTTAATTATTATATTCACTTTATTCACTGAATATATGTGTGTGTTCGTTGTGAAATATAAATTTACTTCATTTATTTTGAGTGTATTGCTCATTTTTGTTCATTATGATTAATGTTATCTTGTTTTATTTGAAAGGATTAATGTTTTGATTGCTGTTACATCCATTACTTCTTTTAATTTTAGTGCTTTGCACGTCTAGTGTAGATTGCTTTGGGAATATGTGCCATTCCTTGGCTTCATTACCTTAATTTTCAGTTATCTGTCTGAATATTATTTTGTTTATTTAATTATTCATTTGCTATTATGTCCCACATGTTAGGGAATAAGTGTTGGAAGTTTTGCATAATGTGTGATTGTAATTTTCAATGTAACATATGTTCTGTTGTGGAAGACATAGTTCTGTTTGATAATTCTGTATAGTTTGATATGTACTGGAGATGCTTTTCTACTCAACATTGTTGCATGTAGTGTACTTCTCTGTGTTTAGATATATAATCCATAGTATATTTGTTTGTAATACGTTCAATAGTGCTATGTATAGTGTGACCATCAAAGATTTTAGAGAAAATGTCTCTTGCATAAGTATATTATTGTTGGATTCATTGGATTCACTTGTCAGATTCAACAGATTCGCTTTGAATTTGTTGTAATAACTTTATAATTGTGTTTTGTGGGATGTGCAACATTAAATAGTGATGTAGTCAATATTTCCACATCATTTAATTGTTCACTATGTTTCAATCGTTTGTTCATTATGTTTTATGTTTTGTAAATATATGCTGTTATTACTCCCCTTCAATTTAAGAAGGTTTACTTTGAGTAATTGGCTTTCATGTATAATCAATTCGTTTGTACATTTTTGTCATTCTATTATTTGTTTAAACATTGTATGTGAATGCATGAATGTGTTTTGTTGAATAATTTCAATGTTATTCATTATCTTTGTCCAATTTAGTTATTAATTCTTTTTGGCATTATACTGAATGTTATTTGAGTTTATACTCAAATAGATTGTATGTATGCTTGTGTATTTTGTTTGATTGTTATGCATACATCTGAATAGTTTGTTATTTGGATAAATATAATCCATTGTATTGTTTAGCAATGTTAAGTTTGTGTATTTTGTTTGTTATATTTGCATACATTGAGTAGTGCATTATTTTGTTTTGCTCAGTATCATTTGTCTTCTGTTTGATGACAAAAGTATTTGAGCTATTGTGTTTTGTTTCCATTTTGTTTATTAATCTTTATTCTTTTGTGATAGGTACAAGCTTCAAGCAAGGCTGTTAATAAAGAATACACTGTTATAATATTGTTTGAACTTCAAATAGTTAATGATATCCTTTATGTATTGATCATAGATATATTCTTTGTGAATAAATATCTTTCTGCTGTTTGTAGTGATTGATTAAATCTGTCACACATTGTGTTTAATCATTAGTGAAGTGTCTGATCAAGTTCTGAACTTATGTTCATTTCTTTTGGATTTTGTTCCAACATTTGTTTGTCTTTTGTGTACTTGGCAGCAGTGTTCTTTCTGTTGCTTGGCCCTTCAGACTATCTGATGTTAGGCTCTAATGTTTTCAAGGCATTAGTTATTTTGTTTTGTGTCTGTATTATTGTATTTTGTCAAGTTTTTTTTTGACATTTAATTGTTTATAACATTTTGTATGTTAATGATAGTTTTTCAATGTGTCCAAAATATGTTTATATTGTTTAAACTGTTTGTATTAATCATATTGACTTAATACTTCATTATCATGTATATCTTATTGATACATTATATTGTTACAATGTATTTGTAACTATTGTTTGTTTGATTGCATTTGCATATAACTTTGCATTATTTAATAAATAATAGTTTTATGTGTTCAAATGCATTATTATTACTTTGTATGTTTGTATATTTGTATATCTATGCAATATATTTGTATATGGTAAATATATGTTATTTATTGTGACTGTGTGTTTGTGATAGTATAAATTGTTTTTATATTTGAGTTATTATGCTCTAGTTGCATTTATACTCTTGTTTTCATATTATTTGTTTGTCTAATCATTATTAGATTGATTGTATGTTTACAATAGTATTTCTTTATATTATTATTATGCTTTGCTAGTATTATTCTTTCGTTTATAGTATTAATCATTTGTATTATTAATATAATATCAAATGTTTGTCTGATATGTGAGATGTTATTATTATAATGTATCTCTGTAGTGTAAGATGAAGTAGTTCAGCATTTGGATATAGTATTGCTGGGTACTCATTACATTTAAAGCAATTAATCTGTCCAAAGTTATTTTAATAAATCAATACATGTTTGGGATGCTCAGACAGGTGTGTCTAGGTCCTTGTAAATAATACGTTCCTTCTACAAGTATTATAGCATGTCTTGTTGTATAAAGTGATTGTAGTCTTCAGGACAAGACAATTCACATTTAGTATGCTCAGATGGGAGCACCAAAAGGTTTGTAGACAAGTAGAATAGATTGTACATGTAGAATCAAGTAGATTCAGTATTAAATGAAGTAGTTCAATGTTACTTATTAAGTATAACATGATTGAGTGTATCAAATCATTTGTACTATAGTGTATAGTACACTGAAGCATTCAAGATGACAATTGTAGTATATATAGTCATGTATATAACCACTGAGGGGGAAATCATAATTGTGGAGACAATGATTTTAAAGTGTCACATTTGTTAGAGGGTAAGATAAAAGTATAGTAACAATGTAGATATGAGTAGGGAGTGTAAGGCTCATAACCTGTTAGTGTGTTGAGGTTGTAATGTTTCCTAAACAATAGGAAATACTCTTCTGTAGGTTTGCACACTGCTCACAAGGATACTAAGAGTTAGTCACACTAGTAGGGGTTCAGTAGACTCTGCTCATAGTGTGTAGGTGTTGATACAAGTTGACTGTATAGTTCATAATAAGCTTTATTGTTCTTAGATTAAAGTAATATATATACTATCTAATATTGTATGTCTTGGATGTATGTCTCAGAAGACATGTCTTAGTAATAGTGTATATTTGCAAGACATTTGTGTGATTTGAAACATATGACACATTTATTCAAAATAAATGTTAACAAGTAGAGTATATAGAGTGAGCCTAAGAGTACAGGACTATCTAGAGTAGACAAGATCAAGACTATAGGACTAGTCTGATTTTGTACACCTATATATACTAAACTATACAAGAGTACTCAGGGAGTATGAGCTACTAAGAATAGTAAACTATAAAGGATGAAAGAAAGGAAGGTCAAAGATAAAGGTACAAAGAATGAAGGAATAGACAAAGGGTAAGAGACTATAGAATGAACAAGGAATGAAAGGGTGGTCAAAGGAATGGAATGATGAAGTAAGGAGGGGTAGTAGTAAGAGTTAGTATACATATAGTTTATAGACAGTGTCTCTAAGAGACAGAAGTCCTGAGTTCTAGTACAGAAGGGTGTAGAACTCTTAAAACTAAAGGTATGAGAGTAGAGAACTGTAACATCACCCCTCCTCTAAAACCAATTGTTCTGATTAGTGAACATTAGGCTTAGTTAATAGTTTAGGTATAAGTTAGAACAGTAGAGCTTAGAAATCTATAAGGCTGAGTTTGTACAGAGTACTAGGATGAAGCTGATAGAAGTCTTAGATTGTCTTAGAAGTATGAGTAAGGTTCTTAGTAGGTTCCTAAGTGTGCTCTTTAACTAGGTACCCTTTCTAGTAAACAAGGAACTTGAGTTTTCCTTGTACTAGCTTAGTATCTACTATGTACTCTACTTTGTATTCTAGTTCAGAACTGATGAGTTCTAGTAGAGGTAGTAAGGGTCTTTATTATAAAGGAAAACTTAGATTATAGTACTAAGATAACAGAACCTTGTTAAACACTAAGTGTATACACTTTCATATTGTTAGAAGTTAGAGTTTGTAGGTAGAGGCACTAACCTTCTTTTTAATAATAAAGAGTCTGAAGCACTTGTTGTCCAACTTCTTTATTAAGCAATTCAAGGTTAGATTAGTAGCTTCTAGTATAACTTTGTTACTAGACTAGTAATCCTTAGCTACAGACCTCTTCTAATCATAGTTCTACTTTATAACCTATACTATCTTCTCTAAAAGAGTTTGTACATTCTCTCTAGTCTTGTGTATCTGTTCTACAAAGTCTGTTACAGATTCAGAACTACTGTTCTAGTTTAAAACTGTTCCCTAGTTGTTAGTAACAGTATAGAGGGGACCTGAAGGCTTAGTAAGGGGACCTAGGCTACAACTATCCTACACAATAGAAATCCAGAACACAAGTACTAGAATATAGTCAGAACTTACAGAACAGACAGAGAGAGAGAGAGTGAGACAAGAGTAGAGTATATAGAGTAAGTCTAAGAGTATAGGACTACCTAGAGTAGACAAGATCAAGACTATAGGACTAGTCTGATCTTGTACACCTATATATACTAAACTACACAAGAGTACTCAGAGAGTATAAGTTACTAGGAATAATAAGCTATAAAGAATAAAAGAAAGGAAGGTCAAAGATAAAGGTACAAAGAATGAAGGGATAGACAAAGGGTAAGAGACTATAGAATGAACAAAGAATGAAGGGGTGGTCAAAGGAATGGAATAATAAAGTAAGGAAGGGTAGTAGTAAGAGTTAGTATGTATATAGTTTATAAATAGTACCTCTAAGGGACAGAAGTTCTAAGTTCTAGTACAGAAGAGTGTAGAACCCTTAAAACTGAAGGTATAAGAGTAGAGAACTGTAACATTACCCTCTCTCTAAAACTAATCACCCTGATTAGTAAACATTAGGCTTGGTTAGTAGCTCAGGCATAGGTTAGAATAGTAGGGTTTAGAAATCTGTAAGACAGAGTTGATACAGAGCACCTAGATAAAGTTAATAGAAGTCTTGGATTACCTTAACAGTATGAGTAAGATTCTTAGTAGGTTCTCAAGTGTGTTCTTCAACTAAGTATCCCTTCTAGTAGATAAGGAACTTGAGCTTTCTGTATACTAGCTTAGTATCTACTACATACTCTACTTTGTATTCTAGTTCAGAACTAATGAGTTCTAGTAGAGGTGGTAAGGGTCTTTGTTGTAAAGGAAAACCTAGATTATAGTACTAAGACAGTAGAACCTTGTTAAACACTAAGTGTATACACTTCTATGTTGCTAGAAGTTAGAGTTTGTAAGTAGAAGTACTAACCTTCTTTTTAATAATGAAGAGTCTGAAGCACTTGTTGTCCAACTTCTTTATTAAGTAGTCTATAGTCAGATTAGTAGCTTCTAGTATAACTTTGTTACTAGACTAGTAATTCTTGACTGTAAACCTCTTCTAATCATAGTTCTAC